CCTTTGACTTGTTTCACCTTAAGGTGATAAATTTGTAAAATGCTAGGTCTATGCATGCTCATCTCCTACAAGTAGCTTTATGTTACTCACCCCAAAGTTACCGGGGCATTTTTTAGGTACGAAGACTTGGTTTGTGATGCTCATCATTCCTTGGATGACTTGTACCTTTTAAGTTCCTATTTCATGCAAATGTTAGCATAAAATGTCATTTTGTAGCCTTATATGTCAAAACTTGTATCTTTGATTCCATATATGTAATGTGTACATAAGTTCACCTTTTACGATATATTTGACTTGTATAAGATGAGGCCAGAGGCCAATGACATTTATATTGTATCCTATGTACTTTTAACTTCATTAAATATTATGAAAATATTGAAAAAAATCACAAGTCATGGTCTCACCATGGTTGCATCGGGTGTGGGAATTTCATTTTTATTTTTCATAGGGTCTCATTAATCATGTATGAAGTGCGGCCAAGGGCCAAATGGTAATTTGAAGCCATTTCATAATTTTAAATTTCAAATTTTTCATTTCATTTGCATTTTCGCCTTTTTGGCCGTTAGGGGGTCAGATTTTGCATCAACGGTATTTTTAAGCCATGGACCATTGTAGCATGTCCTAATAGGTAAGTTACATTTACGTGCATGATCGTTTTCAAGAAAAACCTCATCCTTGGTGATTTGAGCCTCCTATGGACTCATTTTGCACTTTTATTGCGTAATCTGATTTTAGGGCATTTTGGGGTTTTCCTTCGAGAATTAAATTCCGGTCTTTACATGGTCACTTAGAAAACGTGATTTTAGGGGGGGGGGGGGGGGGGGGGGGGGTTTCTTCTTTGTGTTTTTCCAGAAAATGTTGTCTTGGTATCGGAAATCCCTCGCGAAGTTTAGTTTTCAGTTTTGCATTTTAGCAGCTTTTAAACCCTCATGACCAGATTTCATGGAGGGCCATTCTGGGTATTTCATAATGTGTATTCAGGTAGAAAACTCAATTTTAGGGGGGGGGGGGTTTCATGTTTTTCCAGAAAAATTCGTTTGATAACCCGTTTCTGCTATCATATAAGGACAGTTACTGCTGTAGCAGCTTTTGGCCCTATTGACCTCTTCTGATCTGGGGCATTTTAGGTATTTCATAATGAGTTTTTTTCGTTTTCTTCTGCCCGATCGGGTAGAAAACTCAATTTTAAGGGGGGTTTCTTCTTCGTGTTTTTCCAGAAAAATTGATTTCGGACCTCATTTCGGCTCTCAGTTCTGGCTAAATCTTTTTCTTCTCCTAGCATGTCATGGTGCATGTCAGGATGCTTGTGGGGTGCTCGTGGTGCCTCATATCGACGTCGATTTTTGTTTTCGCTCGTTCTCCTTCGTCTGGAATCCAAATCGAGTAAACTTTTTTTTGAACTTAACTAATTTTTCGCTATCTTTCCAATGGCATGCTCGGTTTCACCTGGATCTTCCTAAATAATTACCAATTTACCCTTTTAACCTTAAGTGCTCGTTTTTCTTCGTCATGCCTTTTCTCCTTCGTCCAGACTCTGAATCATGCGATTCTTGAGTCCATCTTGATTAGTTTTTCATTGTCTTTCCAGCGGTGTACTCGGTGGTACTCGAATCCATAATTTTAAAAATGACTATTTTGCCCTTGGGGTTATTTTTGTCCCTTTTTTCTTGTTTTCCGCTTCCGCTACTTTCTTTTGAGTTTCGTGACTTCTCATGAAGTCACGGATGTATTTCGGGAATGATATACATTCTAGGGACATCATTTTCATGTAAAATGACTATTTTGCCCCTGGGGGCTTAATTGTTATTTTTTCGATCTTTTGCTTCCGCGTCAGTTCTCATTGAGTTCCACGACCTCATGGAAGGTCATCAAAGTGTTTTAGATGTGTGTTGTGCCTTGGGAGACCGTTGACTTGTTTCTTGCTTCCATATCTAGATCCGTTATCAGGTCAATCTTCGATTCATCACAGGACACGCTGGCCTAAAAACCACGGTCGTCACAGGGTGTGTAGTCAATGCCTTTGACCACCAATCTCACCTTGTATCTTTTGGAACCATCATGTTCCTCTTTGACCCTGTACACCCATTTGTTGTGAAGAGTTTTCTTCCCCATGGGCAACTTTGCTAGTTCCCATGTTTTGTTGGAGATAAGGGACTTCATCTCATCTTCCATTGCAAGCTCCCACTTGCTAGCATCTTCAACTTGACATACTTCATCATAGCATTCAGGCTCACCATCATCTGTGAGCAACATATAATCCATATATTTCTGATTTGGTACATGAGGACGCGTGGACCTTTTAGGTGCAGGCTTAGGAATTGGAATCCACGGTGAATTATGCTCTGTGAGTTCTGGCTAAGAACCCTCATTTATTTGCTCTACGTCAATGCTCTCTGAATCATCATCCAAATCAACAAACTCAGGCTTACTCTGTACAGAACTAGTTAACTATGATGCATCTCTATCCTTGTACATCACCTTCTCGTTGAAAATCACATCTCTACTTCTGATGATTTTCTTGTTCTGATTATCCCAGAATCAATAACCAAACTCATCTCCGCCATACCCAACGAAGATACATTTTAGTGACTTGGGGTTAAGCTTTCCCCTAGCATGGTCACAAATATGCACATATGCAATACAACAAAAAACTTTCAACCATGAAAGATTTACCTCTTTGTCACTCTATACCTCTTCTGGTATTCGATGCTCCAAAGGCACCGATGGTCCACGATTAATTAGGTAGAATATTGTGTTGACGGCTTCTGTCCAAAACTGTTTGGGTAGACACGAATGTATGCGCATACTTCTGGCTCTCTCTGTCAATGTTTGGTTCATCCGTTCTGCCACCCCATTCTGTTGTGGGGTTCCTTGCATTGTCCTCTCTAATTTGATCCTATTATCAAAACAGAAATTCTTGAACCCAATCTCTTCATACTTACCTCCATTGTCTGACCTCAACCTCTTGATCTTTAAACCTGTCTCATCCTCCACCATAGCCTTCCACTTCTTGAACACATCAAATATCTCAGATTTGTGCTTCAAAAAATAAACACATACCTTCCTCGTGTGATCATCAATGAAAGTCATGAAGTATTATTTTCCGCCAATGGATGAGATAGTGACTGGCTCCAGACATCTGTGTGAACTAGCTCAAATTTCTCCTTTCTGAGATCTCTGTCACTCTTCTTGAAATTGACCTTCTTCTGCTTACCCATCATGCAACTCTCACAGAAGTCAATATCAATTGCCCGCATGCCTGGTAGTTTCCCTTTTGAGTGCATAATCTTAAACCCCTTTTCACTCATGTGACCTAGTCTTTGGTGCCAAAGGTTGTGATCTTCTCTATTTTCTGCAACTGATATAGGCTCACAAGCACTGGTAGTTATGTAGAGAGTGCCAGATTTCTTACCACGTGCAGGTCATAGCGCGCTGGAAACTTTTCACGAGTCATTATTGAAGGTTGTAACAAAACCTTCCTCTAACAATTGTCCCACCGAAATCAATTTCTTCCTCAATTCAGGGATGTATCTCACATCCTTCAACTTCCAAGTTGACCTATTCAACTTGATTTGCACTTCATCCTTGTCAACGACGCTGCAAGGCTGATCATCACCAAGATACATCTTGCCAAGGTTACCTGATTCATAGCTATTAAATAGCTCTTTGCTTGAGATGCCATAAAACGATGCACCGGTAACCCATGACTCCGCATTGCCCTCCAAAGAGCATATCAATACATCATCTGATTCTTCTGAGACAATGTTTGCTTCAGTTTTTCTTTCGGTTCCCTTCTTTGGAAATCTGCAATCAACACGGTAATGTCCATTCTTTCTACAATTCCAACACTCAACGTCACTGAGATCTGTGAAATTTCTGGAATTTTAAGACTGTTTCCTTCCATTCCTTGACTTGGATCTGCCTCTGTTTCTATTACCGTTGCCATTCTTCTTGTTTGAACCCTTACCTCTACTTTCAACATTCAATGACGAACCACTGGTGGAAACCCCAGTTGTTTACCTTCTGATTTCTTCACTCAGAATCATGCTCACAACTTCATCAACTTCAACTTGGTCTTCCCTGTAGAGCTACTGATCGCTGTAACTGTGCCACTCCAACTCTCGGGTAACTGCCCTAGAATTAGTAGTGCTCTGACCTCGTCTTTGAAGTCGACATCAACAGATTCTAATTGCCCAATTATCTCGTTAAACGCATTTAGGTTTTCGTTAAACTTACCACCTTCGATCATCTTCATGTTGAACAACTTTTTGATCAAATGCACCTATGGTCGCTGCAGAAGGCTGTTTATATATACTAGAAAGGGTTGCCATGAGAGACTTCGTCGTCTTCTCGTTCTTGATGTTGAAGGCGACTGACTTTGACAACGTCAATCTGACTGTGCCAAGAACCTTCCTATCAAGTAATTCTCATTCTGCATCATTATTATCCTCTAGCTTCTCTCCCAAAGGTTGATACAGATTTTTCTGAAACAAGATGTCTTCAATTTGCATCTTCCAGAAACCGAAGTTTATATCATCAAACAGACATATCTGATCGAAAGACTTTTAAAATTTCGTCAAACACCTTCTATACCCAAGGTTTCCAACTAAAGGCTCTGATATCAGTTGTTGTAGCGGAAACGCAAATAACAACATTGTTCAAACAATAAATAAGCAATCACGAAGAATAAAAAAAATCACACACAAAAACATAAGATATATATAACTTACCCAAATCTTAAGGTTACGTCCATGAAGTACACCGAACAAATTCAATATGAAAAAGATGAATAATTATAATAGAGAATTTTCTCTCAATGTATCTCAATTGCTCTTTCTTGTATTGGCACAAACTAATCAATCACACCGCATATGATGATCCTCTCTTTTTTTTTTCTCTCTTTTTTAACCACCCCTAAAATTTGATTAGAGTTGATATATATAGCCCCAAGTAATTTGTCCTGCAAAAAATTGTCTTTTGTAAAATCCAAAACCAATAAAGAAGTTAAAACAGATTAAGAAATTAAATTTTCCTTAAAATTCAGCAGTCTTGAAGTTTACATATAATTAAATTTTTCTAAAAATCTTTCACCTAATTAGACTCCACAAAACCAGAACATCTTGCTATATATGAAGTTTACATATAATTAAATCTTCCTAAAAATATTTCACCTAAACAGACTACTCAAAACCAGAACATCTTCCTATATAGGTGAAAGTGTCAAAGACGAATAAGTGACTCCTCCATTTGTCAGCACCAGAAGATGAGTTATCTGAATCAAATGTCGTGTCCCTGACTTTTTCCATTAATGAAAGATCTAAAGTCTCTTCAGGCACTTTGAATGCTGCACACCTACATCAAGAATCATAATATTAAGAGCATAATTCTCACAGAAATAGAGATCTAATAAACAAATGTCGCCGAAATTTTTAGAAAACACTACCACATACCACATTTTATATGCCAGTCACACAATCATAGCAACCGTAGCTACTATAGTTTGCTCTTCAGCTTTACCATCTATGCTTACTTTTATTGCCACGAGGAATCCAAAACTCAAAATGGAACATGATAATGACAATTTTATGGATCAGAGAAAAGACAATTTAAATTATTCTCCATAACCTCTTGAGACTTAATGGGGAGATGATATGTTATTATCCTTTTATTCACTTCTGTTGGGTAACCTACATTACTAAATATAATATGCAAAGTTCTGCCACAACTGCATGGCTACATCTATACCCACTAGTAAACACATTTAAGGGAAAAAAGACCTAAATAAATCAAGTAGGTAAGCATACCATTATTTGATAAAATAAAGAATACCATAATCAATTACTTAAATGTTACAAAAAAAGAATTACAAATAAAGCAGGACCTAAAGAAAAATGGACATAGGACGACATTTTTCATATCTACACAACAAGATGAGAAGAAGACTTTAGAGCATCAAAATTTAAAGCATTATCTCTGAAAGTGAATCAATATTTTTCAATAAAATTCCCTTCACATTTTCCAAGTCAGAAATCATTTAGTAATAGCAATTTTCAACTACAACAACTGCATAAGAAAAAACCTTTTGTTAAATCTTTCATATGGTTATTAGGCAAGTAAAACCATTAGTTTCATGGGAAAAAAAAAATTTGTGTAAATAATATTATTGCATCTTCCTTTCTTAAGAAGAATGGATGAATCAATTATAATTAAAGATAAAAAGATATGCACGGGCTAGCTCAACTGGTAACTTGGTAAGACCTATGGGGGAACTCCCATTGGGTCTCCTGTTCGAGACTCACCAAAGGTGAGACTGTACTTAAATGATGCATATGATTACGTGCATCCAGAGTTTGCAAACCAGCCGGGAGTCCAAAGTGGCTAGCGGGTGGTTGATTCTTCATTATATATATACAAACAGGACAAATGATATATCCTTGAAAAAGAAAAGGTAAATAACAAACATCAACAATTCACACAAATGAAGGAAATCGGGGGGAAAATAGTCACTGCCAACAAAAGACCGATCTTCGACCCTCCCAATGCCTATTTGGAACATGAGGACTGGCCTTACAAGAGGCCATTAAAGAACCGAAGCATCCTTTCTTTCCAGGACTTCTAACAATCTCTCTCATCAGTTGATTATATGCCAAAATCCTATGGAATACCCTGCCACCCATGACCCATCTAACAACAATATTAGAATCTTTTTATATCAAACATTGCCAAAGCCCCACATTCAAAACAACCTTAAGAATTTCCACAAGCGCTAAGATCTCAGCCTAAATAGCAATTTGGTGTCATCCAGCATAGAGAACCCAAGTATCTAATTTATCGAAGCGATGCTAGAATTGCCTCCACTTCATAATGGCTCATCTCAATTAACTCCATTATAGGAATTGTATTATCAAGTTTATGTTTCACCTACGCAAGATGCTCAAGGAAAAGAAGGAAAATAGACCTAACCTTTGGCATTTTTATGTTTTCAATTCTTAGTAGACACTTCACTTTTTGAGGGTCAATCTGCTTTACATGATGCCATCAAAGAACCGAAGCATCCTTTCTTTCCAGGACTTTTAACAATCTCACTCATCAATTGATTATGTGCCATGATCCCATGGACTGCCCTGCCACCCATTGACCCATCTAACAACAATATTAGGATCTCTATATATCAAACATTGCCAAAGCCCCACATTCAAAACAAGCTTGAAAATTTCCAAAAGAACTAATATCTCGGCCTAAATGGCAATCTGGTGTAATCTAGCATTGAGAACCCAAGTATCAAATTTATCAAAGAGATGCTAGAATTGTCTCTACTTCACCGTGGCCCATATCAATTAACTCCATTATAGGACTTACATTATCAACGGACAATGTCACCGGAATTTTTTTTACAAATATTTTATTAGGAGTTTTTCTCTTTTCTTCAGTAAGGTAAAAAAGTAGTTTCATGAGTTGACTTGCTGTATGTAATGTTTTCACCATCACAAAGATAAAATGAGTTAGTGAGCATTAAAAAATCATGACCAGGAAAAAAATTAGCATCACCAAAATGAACAGGACAAATCAAAATGAAAAGGAGAAACAAAGCATTGTAAATATAAGATATATACCAAAAGTATCCCTGAGGTAAGGAACCATACAGTTATACATCTAAAGACGCAGCACACAACTAGCCAAGCTTGAAACAATAATTCAGAAAAGCTATACACAAAATCAATTAATTTTTAATTAATTAAATTTAAATCAAGTCAATTTTAAAAGTATAGAGAATCAAATAGGAACAAATAATCCATAACATTGAGAACAGAATCAAAACAGATTCTCAACTACTTGTATTCGTAAAGTTTGTCAGCAAAGCAAGTGGAAGCTTCCTGACTATAAAGGGTAGTTAATTCAAACCTATACTAGATATTGTGTATGCCAAATGCATTACCAACAAGCAAATTTACAGCTGATCTCCACATCCAAACGCAAATAATCTATGTCCAGTACGCTTAAAAAGTAACACATGATATAACTTGCTATCTAGTTAACTCTTTCAGTTATCATTTATGACTGAAGGTGGTCAAAATACTTCTCGAAATAGTACAAATTAAGGACAAAGAAATATGTAGTTGGGAAAGCATAATAGTTTGTGAGTTCTTCGAAGTTGCAAGCCTTTTTAATGCTCAGTGGTACGTGAGTATAGACTAACAATCTTCAATTGTGGATTATATAAGTTTTTTTCCTGAAATTCAATATTTGCCATATCTCGTTTACAGACAAGTTTCTCTTTTTTCTTTTTTGATAAGTTACAGACAAGTTACTCTGAATTTCAGTATAGTATCACTAAAAAAATCTACACAAAACCCCAATGGAGTTAACCCATTTTGGTTGTAGTTACGGATCCAAAACACTTTACATAGCAACTGTCCTTATAATTTTTATTTTATTTTTACTTTTTATAGCATCCAAGATTTCACAGAATTTTCCAATTTTCTATATATAGACAGTATTTGGTTGTTATTTGTGGAACATGATCATATTCCATAGTATACTTACGAGAAGGGGTGGATATTACGAATATTTAATAAAAATCAAATATATACTAAATAATTATTTATAATGATTTTTATTATAATTTTTTTTAGTATCTTTATTACCTAAAAGGAGTTAGACTCTCGACCTTATAAAAGGAGTCTCCATCATCTCTCAAGAAATCTTCTACTTTTCAACTCTTCCTATCCATTTCACAATCTTAAATATTGTATTGATCCTCTCATTCTCTAGCTATTATATATAAACATATAGTTACAAATATGTGTGTGTGTGTAAATCTTAGTTATACACACCCAAGTAGAAATATTGTTATATATGAGGTCCAAATTTATTAAAGACGTGGATATTGACAAGATTGATATTTCAAAAAGTGGCTGAGAGAATGTAGATTTTAAACATTTGACTCACATTTACAACAAATTATCCAACTGAAGGCATTTATCTAACATTATATATAGTATTTTGAGGTTGATGCGTCATGAATATGGGTGTCACAAAACTTAAGTCCTCACACAAAATGGCTATATAGAAAGATATGTTGTTCAACGAAACACTGTAAAGATGAAAGGCATATATTTTCTTTTTCAAAATTTCCGAATTCAATTTAGTGATCAAATACAAGAAAACATGAATATAAGATATGATCATCAAAATGTATAAATACAATAAAGTGTTGAAGCGAAATTAAAATGCAAACAAGCACATATTTACCTTGAATAGATATTCCGCACCACCGCGTTATCTCCAGTAACAGCTTCCTTCAGTGAAATGAAACTTGGAATATGAGCAATTGCTTCAAATTTCGAATCGATGCCAAAAACCTTAAGACATTTAAATTTTGGTTCGTTGGGATCATAACAGTTCAGAGAACTTGTAAAATAATGAAACATCAATAGTGCTCCATCTTTGAGGTACTTTATTGGCTGATATAAACCAATAGGACACCTCTCATCAGTATCAATAGAAAATATTTTTGTCCATGATTCTTGAACACCATATTTCTTCATAATCCATATGTTAATATAGTTGGAGGCTTCACATATGCATAGACAGCCTTCTAGTACTCCCATGGACACATTACTCATTGCTTCAAAACTAAGTTCGTCGGTGCCATCACTCTTGCGAGGAGGCGGTGGAACCGATTGGAACTGCTCATTGTCAAAGTTAAAGGAAACTATATAATTAGGGAATGTTCTCGGCTCAATACAGATCCAATGAATGCACCCCTCTAGATAGGTGGGAAATGCTAGCCCATACAATGGATCGGGACAACCACCAATGCTTTTCCATGATCCTGTGCCAAGTGTGTGTATTTCAGTCCTCCTGAGATTTGTTAGACTACTCTCACCAAAAATCATTTGACAAATCATTCTTATCACCTTGTATTGATTAGTCCTTGGACTGAAGCCGAACCCACAACCAGCTAAACCTTTCTCACCATACTTTTGAGCCACCGGAAGGTTTGTATACTCACCTGCGATAGGATTACACACAACAACAGGTTCATTGTTTGATGGTTCGCACAAGCAAAGGAAACCATGGCATGAATTCACAATTTTGAATTTATGCTCGATGGGACGTTTCCTTTTAAACACATAGCCTGCAGAGAGGAAACTCCTTTGGCTATCATCAACCACATCGTTGACCACCATTTCAGCATTGCGCAACGGGATCTTCAACTTGGTATCAAGCTTGATGTGGCAATTTTTAACACACTGGTCAGTGTAATAAGCACCATAACAATCACAGTACCCAGGATCAACTATGTGGCAACCTACAACACACTGATCAGAGTAATAGTCACCAAGACAATTGCAGTACCCAAGATCGAAATTGCTGCAAATTTCAGGCTCAACCAAGTAAAGAATCCTAGATACATGGGTTGAACCCAAAGTCCGGAGCAGAGCCCATGCCTCTTGCCCTGAGAAGTGCAGCTTGGCAAATTGAGGGTCTGAAATTAGGTTACACCATTCTTTGGAAACGCACTTGCAAGCAAGAACCGTCTTCACAGGGAGTTTTGGTAGAATATTGGCGACGATGGGCGTTGGAAGATCTGTGATGAACGCCCCCAACTCTGAATTGGTTCATTATTGTGGGACATTTCTGCTCCTTTTTTGCATTTCCTGTTTGAATTTCTTCTTCTTGGTCTCGGCATGGCTTAGATACTATCTATAAATCTACGAATTTGGATTTCATGTAAGCAACACAGAGAATAATATCTCAAAAGCACGAACCCAGTAAAATAAAAGAAAATGGAAATGTTAAAGCCATGATTTAAAGGAATTAATTAATTATATATATATATATATATATATATATATATATATATATATATCAACAATGTAGATACTATGACATAGATATATATGTATAGATATAGATAGATAGAAAGAGAGAATTACCTCCTGGAACAAATCTGGCCACACTTGCAGAGAGATGGAGAGTAAAACCCTAAAACCTAGTCCAAAAAACTTTTATCAAAACAGACATGTGAAGTTGTGAACTCACTGCTCGGTAAGCTTCGTATGCATCCTAAAAAGACATTGGGCATATGCAAAGTAATACTCAGTATATATTTTCTCTCTCTGAATGTCGTACAAAATTACTATATATTACTTTAATTTGTAAAGAATACTTAAAACCTAGGAATAGGGCCGGCCTTGAGATTGAAAGAATCTCGAAAGGTCCTAGGCAAACTTTAATGGGAGGCTCTTTATACAAAAAGTTTCACACGCACAAAAAATAAATGTCTATTTTTTGAATCCTTAGCAAAATTTTCAAGTTTAGCATATCTTGGAAGACCTCTTTCAACTAATAAATCTCTCATGTTTTTATCAATATTTTTCCAATTTCCTCGATCATTAATGTTCAAAAGAAGATTATCATTCTCATTCATATATTCTTCTATTACCAAATCTTCAAGTTCATTCACATTATCTTCATTTTGATTCTCATTCCTATCTTCATTCATTAAATCTCCATGTTCATTAAGATTTTATTCATTTCTCTGTTCTTCATTTACCAAATCTTCACCTAAACTCTTTGTTTGTGTATTGTTCCTAAAAAGCTTATGAATAGCGTCTTTTTGATATTGAATCAATTTTTCTTCTCTCTTCTCTTTTAATAAAATGTAGATTACCTCAAAATGCAATGCAATGAATATGACACTATAATACCTTTTACTGTAATCAGCCCCTTCACACTAACACTCAAATCAAGCTCCTCCAAGTTGCTCAAAGCACAAAAGTCTACAAAAAATAAAAATTTTGTTGTTTATATATTAATAAATTTTGTTACTTTATATTGTACTTTGTACTTTGTTTCATATACAATTGGGTGCCCATATTAATTGACAGATTTATGCTTTATGCGGTTAACATCCAATTTATTATTAGCATGAAAAAAATTGGAATAAAATATATATTGAATAATTGAAGAAATGACTTACCAGTCTGAAGTGATGAAAGCACTCTAAAAGATGGTAGGACCGTAGGATGCTGTAATTGTAAAAATTATAATCCACAATAAGGGCCTTCAGCTTGTTCAAGACTCAAGTTCAACCAAAATTTACCAATGTCTTTCGAATCCTGCAAAGGGAGATCCAGTTTCAGTCATTATCTTCACAAATATTTATAACTAAAATTCATAAAATAAAAATAAAAAATTTTATAAAAAAGATTAAAAAAAAAAAAAAAATTCACCAAATAGGATTTAGTATGCAAAACAAGAATTGCAGACCTTGATTAATTGATTTGAAAAAAAAAAACCATACATACAAGTTAGCAGTTTGGGGGGGGAGTTGAGAGACAGCGGCTGAAGCTTGCGAACGGCGAACCCGAACTGGAACTGGAAACTGAAAGCTATGGGTTTTGATTTTTTGAACAATCTGAAATGATACGCCGATATGGGTTTTGATATAGGTAATAGGTTTTGAACTTTTGATTCTTGCAGATAGATAGGTTTTGAACTTCTGATTCTTGTAGATTTTGTAGTATGCAGAAGTTCAAAGTTGAGAACGAGAATAGAGACGGAGGCGATTGGGGAGGCTGAAATGATTTGCCCTAAATTTTTTTTTTTTTTTTTTTTTTTTTGTTTTTGTTTTTGTTTTTTGGTGGCCCATCATCCATGGGCCTATAAATTTTGAGGCCATAGCCAACCACTTGGTTGCCTTCTTAGGTCGGGTCGCCCTGCCTAAGAAGAACGAATATTTATGTTAGGGTGCTGGTATCAGATTCTGGGATACGATATGGACAACGGACGTTTTGGACCCTTTCACGAAACAGTCAGGTGATTTTATATTTTTTTAATTTTTTTAAAAAAGTAAAATTTAATGCAATCTAAAATAATATAAAATAATATAAAAAATAATATAAAATTTAAGAAAATAAAAATAACAAAACACTATCTCTAAATTTCAAATTAATGATTCAGTTATGATTATATGAATAAAATGGCAAAAAATATTATATATAATTTAATGCAATCTAAAATATTATAAAATAATATAAAAAATAATATAAAATTTAAGAAAATAAAAATAACAAAACACTATCTCTAAATTTCAAATTAATGATTCAGTTATGATTATATGAATAAAATGGCAAAAAATATTATATATATATATATATATATATATATATATATATATATATTATATTTTTTGACATATCCATGTTATACCATATCGTATCGTTGTCATACCCCGTATTTCATACCTGTATCGGTACTTCATAAGTTAAAATAAAAACATTAGTAAATCTTTTTTTTTTCTGTTATTATATATTTAAAGATAATATTTCTTATCTGGTTTATCACTTTCTCCTTTGATGTGGCCTAATAAAAAATTGACACATGTTGATAAAATTATATAATATTTGGTAAAAAAAAAAAAAAAAAACCAAATTATTGCCTTTTTGTTACAAAAATGCCCCCACGCTTGTCATGTAATGAGCTATTTTATTAAATTATAATATCCTTTCTTATATAATTACACTTAATCCATTTTTCTTATTAAAATAAATTATGAAAAAATTTCATACTATTTTGATGACATATTGTCCATCAAATTTGCATAATTTTACCGTTAATTGTTATAATTAATTATTTTAATAAAAATCTTAAGTAGAAATTTTAAAAAATAGTTCCAGTAATTTCTTTAAATTTTTAATTTTTTGTTTTTTTTTTAATATAGTGCATGAAAAAGAAGTATTTTTTACATAAGTAATTTCTTAATTTTTTGTGAATAAATTGTACAAAAAAATATTTATTTTACGTAAAAAAAAGTTTAAATACGGTATAATAAGTTTTACTATAAAAAGTTATATTTTAATAATAAATTAATCATATTAGAAAATAGCTCAACTTGGTGGTAGATGCAACTTCGTGTATTTTCTACTATTGTTGTGATAAATTGATACTAGTAATAAAATTACGATAAATGATATAATTAATATTTAAATAAGAGAAAAAGATAATAAAGATAAATTAATAAAAAAAATAACAAATTTAATACAAAAGGATAAATTTGTATTTTGTGATAGTATATTCTTAATTGCAACAAATGATTTCTTAAAGATTTCTTGCAACAAATGGCATGTCATATCATATCTATCTATCCATCTATATATTACACGCAGAAATGATTTCTTACTCCCAAAAAATTTATCCACACAGGATATAATTGCTATAATTTTTTGGTAACACCTATGGTCTATTGTGCATGGTATGAATAAATTTCTTACTCCCAAGTGACTGTCATTGATAAACCAAATGTATAAATAACTATAAAATTTACAAAGTAGCTTGGGCCTCAAAAGAGGGCTAAAAGGACAAGAAAACTATGCATTTGGGCTCAAAAAGAAGCCCAATGGTGCAAAAATGTAAGAAAGCTGGCCATTAGGCCCATCCTCAAAACAATGAACCGTCGTTGTGAAAAAGTCGAGAATCGGTCATGTTTGGACGTTATGTGCGAGATATAAAAAATAAATAAATTAACAATGAACCGTTATAAAAAAAGTTGAGAATTGGTCTAGTTTGGGCGTTATGTGCGAGATATAAAAAATAAATAAATTGACGAATGCGATAACATAATCAATTTCGTTACGCAATATCAATTTGTACCTGATTTCGACGATACCCATTGACAGATCAAGCCTACCCAAATTTTTTTTTTTTACTACTATACCCAAGTTAAGCCAAGTCCAAAAAAAAAAAATTATTACTAATATTAACCTATACAAAAAATATTAGTCTACCCACAATTTCTGAATTTGCCCTTACCGATACTGTGACTTTAAACCTTGATATTGTCCAAGAATAAGAGGTTCAATTTAAAATTAACTTACCATGATTAAAAGTAATGCTGAAAAAAAAAAAAAAATTTGATATTATCAAAGAGTAACAACTAAAAAGTTGAGAGAAGAGTTCATATTCAGAACATATTTATTGAGATGCTACAAGCCTACACTGTTCTAAAAGCTTGCAAAATAAATGGGGAAGAAAAGTGCAAGGAGCATTAGCTGTGTTGGCTTCTTTAATTTGATGGCATTTCATCTTCAATGAGAGATGTTGGGATGTTCAAGTCACCATGGAGAAAGCTATTTTTCTCAGAATACTACGAAGCGGTCGAAAAACTGACACTCAGAACAGTATCTGCAAGCTCTACTGAGTTGCAGAAATGGCGCATCTTGAAATAGGGTGGGAAATACGTTAGAGCAAAAGAATGGGGGGCACATTCTAAAGTATGAAACCACGTCAATACTGCTTTTAGAACCTTCAATTCTTTGAAGCAACATTTCATGAAATTCTCCAACTTGGTCCAGCATGTAACAACAACATTACAAGGCATATCCTCTTATCACAATCAGCACAAATACCCAAAGGATTCACGTAACAACAATAATATTCTTAGAGCATAGGTATCTTCATCGTCTAGCATATCGCATTGGATAAGAAGCGGTATTTGTGAGCGTTGATACAAAGAATATTAACACCAAAAGCGCACACAAACAAAGACTATCAAAGGTAACTAAGTTGATTCTATGGGTTAATAGTCTGTTACCCAGGGTTGTAAACCATTTCTTTAGTGGTTTTTTTTTTTCCTAGCCTAGGTCCAATGGTTTGTGTGCTATAGGGTTTCTACGTACATCTGTGTCTCCTTGATGTGTTACTACTTCTATATGATTTCTACCGTAATACTGTTTCCCGTGTTTCATTGATGCTATAAGAACCTCAAAGTTTGTTACTCTATTCAAAATTTAAAAGACATATTCACTCCATCTAAGTCTACGTAGGGGTATTAATGTACTGTGACGGCCTAGGCTGTCGGTCCAGCCTTCAAATTAAACTAATTAATTATACAAAGAATTCATCACTCTAAAAACAAATATCGGTTTCAAGTCATACACCAGGTTATGCATAAAAGAAACACAGCTAGAATAATTGAAGCATGTTCCTATAACGATTTGGTTCCAAGGATGTCAACTTGAATTACAGCAATAAACTATAACAGACTGGGGATTACCAACAAGCCTGTGGCCTAGAGGTACAAAATTCTTATTTTTCAAACGAAGGTCAGGGGTTCGAACCTCAGTGGAGGCAGTGTGTGTGAATCCCAACTAAGAAAAAATATATATATAATCAATTCAAGTATGGATATATTAAAACAATAAACATTTCATTTTCACAAATTATATATATACACACACACTTTGAATATTTCTTTAAAGCAAAATTAGAAGGCATGAGTACAACAATGGGCTATTTTATGGCCTATTATAATAATTGTGTAAATATGTTTGAATCGTAATTTTCCTGATGACTTCCTAGTGAATCCTAAGCCAAGCATGAGAAAGATATAGTTACATTTTCTAATTTAGTTATCAATATATATTCCCTTCACCTAAAAAATTTAAACAAGTCTCTATCCACAAAAAAACAGTATTGTTTCTTGTGACCTACTAGGCCAAATATTCATTACTATCTTCCCATAACCATAAAAATAATAATAATAATAAAAATAATAAAAAATGAAAAAGAAAAAAGTGAACAACTACTAAGAGGAAGCAAAATATCAACTTATGGAACTTGACATTCTTGGTATTAGGGAGGATTTGTCAAGCTTCCAGAGTTTCCAACCTACATGCATGACCCCTCCAGTAAAAGTATATGTGCTCAACTGCTCAAACTTCAGATCTTGTCCCGCCATTTAGTATCATTAGACGATCTCGACAAGCAATTGAATCGCTATCGCCAATATTCTTCAACCAAAAAAAGAGGCTTAGTCTCTCCCTGAACTCTGAATTCTGCACACCTACATCAACATTCACAATATTAATAGAGCATAATCCTCGAATAAATAGCAACTTGGATCTTCTAAATAAATATTCACCAAAATTTTCATGGAAGAAGGCTCTATACCCAAATCGTCATGCAATCCACACAATAATAGCCATTATTATTACCACTCTTTGTGCTTCAGTTTCATCATCAATGGTTTATTATATATTAATGCTATTACATTGATCTCTTATTTTTCAATATATCAAACATTATTAATGACAAAATATATAAAATACTAGTGGGAAGGATGAGATTTTTTTCACGGAAAAAAGAAAAGAGTGAAGAAGTAAAAACCAAAAAAGAGAGAGAATTTATCAAAATAGTCTTTTACCCAAAAGAATAGACTACTTCAAACAACCACACCCTCAGCATCCATTTGACTATTGCTGGACTTGTTTATCCATCTAATCACCATGCCTTAAGCTGTGAAAGATCAACAATCTCTTTCATCTAATGCTTTATTGTGAATCCAGTGTCACTCAATAATTTTTGAAACGTTTCTGGAATTGTCTCCGGTTCCCAATTGACCCGTATTAGAAAACTCAAGAACCAAACTTACTGAAGTGTCTCTAGATATACTATCACATTTTGACCACATTATACAATATACAATGCATGTCAAATATACAATCTACAGTCCTCAAATTGAACTACATGCATATATTTATATAGATTGTACCATTAGAATAAATTTAAACATTAAGATTATAGCATTCTAAATTAGATGAATCGATTGAATCCTGCTTTTTCTGTCATTTCTACTGTATATGCGGTGTGTGCATGGGTTGCACCTCGTTCAGTTGCTTTTTAATGGAACCAATCTTATCAAAAAAAAATCTCGAATAAATATTTTGTACTTACGTTTTTAGTAGACATGTTATTTGTTTATCATCATAACAAGTTCATCATATGTTACAAGTACTCCACAAAGGCACATGAATTGTCTAGTAAAATTCTAGAGCACTAAACGTAAGCCCTGTAAACAATAGTGATGTTCAACAATTCATTGAAGTTCCACAAATCAAATAAAAGTTGCTGAAATACACAAAAATAAAGAAGCAAGTATAGAAGATAACAAACTCTACAATATACTTATATATAGATATAGAAAGCTAGAACACACAGGGTCACCTATTTTGTTCTTCCAAAACTGTTTTAATGAGTTAGATACCGTTTATATATATGTAAGGATATAAATATCTTGACATAAAGATAAAATGAATTATTGTGCATTATATAAGCATGAAAAAAAATAATAAAAATAAAAATAAAAATAAAGAAGAAGAAAGAAAAGAAATTAGCATCATCAAGATGAAAAGGGAAATTGATAACAAGAAGGAACAATGAGTAGCAAATATAGGAGATATGGCCAAAAAAACAAAGACTATCCTAGTATCCTGTGGGTGAGGGACCATAAGTTGTACATGTAATGGTCCAAAGAAGGACTACACAACCATATGAACAAACAAACCAATGCTCAAATTGATGAGGTACCTAGTTATTTAAGTTTGAAACAATAAGTTATTGAAGCCATACACAAAACCCAAATACAATTTAAATTAAAATGTACAGAAAACCCAAGAAAAATTGAGAATAAGATATCATCTTCAAACTTTACAGTTATTTTTTTTTTAGTGCTAAAGTAACTGTAAATTGCAAACAAGGACATCCTTACCTCGAATTGATATTCAGCACCGCCACATTATCACCAACAACGGCATCCTTGAGTGAAATAAAGCTCGGAATATAAGCATATGCCTCAAATTCGGATTTAACCACACCCTCAGCATCCATTTGATTATTGCTGGACTTGTTTATCCATCTAATCACCATGCCTTAAGCTGTGAAAGATCAACAATCTCTTTCATCTAATGCTTTATTGTGAATCCAGTGTCATCAAGACTAATTTTTGAAACGTTTCTGGAATTGTCTCCGGTTCCCAATTGACCCGTATTAGAAAACTCAAGAACCAAACTTACTGAAGTGTCTCTAGATATACTATCACATTTTGACCACATTATACAATATACAATGCATGTCAAATATACAATCTACAGTCCTCAAATTGAACTACATGCATATATTTATATAGATTGTACAATTAGAATAAATTTAAACATTCCTTAAAAATTACAAGATTATAGCATTCTAAATTAGATGAATCGATTGAATCCTGCTTTTTCTGTCATTTCTATTGTATATGCGGTGTGTGCATGGGTTGCACCTCGTTCAGTTGCTTTTTAATGGAACCAATCTTATCAAAAAAAAAATCTCGAATAAATATTTTGTACTTACGTTTTTAGTAGACATGTTATTTGTTTATCATCATAACAAGTTCATCATATGCTACAAGTACTCCACAAAGGCACATGAATTGTCTAGTAAAATTCTAGAGCACTAAACGTAAGCCCTGTAAACAATAGTGATGTTCAACAATTCATTGAAGTTCCACAAATCAAATAAAAGTTGCTGAAATACACAAAAATAAAGAAGCAAGTATAGAAGATAACAAACTCTACAATATACTTATATATAGATATAGAAAGCTAGAACACACAGGGTCACCTATTTTGTTCTTCCAAAACTGTTTTAATGAGTTAGATACCGTTTATATATATGTAAGGATATAAATATCTTGACATAAAGATAAAATGAATTATTGTGCATTATATAAGCATGAAAAAAAATAATAAAAATAAAAATAAAAAAAAGAAGAAGAAAGAAAAGAAATTAGCATCATCAAGATGAAAAGGGAAATTGATAACAAGAAGGAACAATGAGTAGCAAATATAGGAGATATGGCCAAAAAAACAAAGACTATCCTAGTATCCTGTGGGTGAGGGACCATAAGTTGTACATGTAATGGTCCAAAGAAGGACTACACAACCATATGAACAAACAAACCAATGCTCAAATTGATGAGGTACCTAGTTATTTAAGTTTGAAACAATAAGTTATTGAAGCCATACACAAAACCCAAATACAATTTAAATTAAAATGTACAGAAAACCCAAGAAAAATTGAGAATAAGATATCATCTTCAAACTTTACAGTTATTTTTTTTTTAGTGCTAAAGTAACTGTAAATTGCAAACAAGGACATCCTTACCTCGAATTGATATTCAGCACCGCCACATTATCACCAACAACGGCATCCTTGAGTGAAATGAAGCTCGGAATATAAGCATATGCCTCAAATTCGGATTTAACCCCATGAACTTTAAGATATTTAAAATCTGGTCCTTTAAGGTCAAAACGAACCAGAGCACTTCTAGAATAATTAAACATCAATACTGCTCAATCCTTTAGGTAATTCATTGGCAAATATAAACAGTTAGACAACCTCTCATCATGCAGGGTATCAATAGAGAACATTTTTGTCCAAGATTTGCTTCTCATTGTTATCCATACATGAATAGAATTCCCATTGGAGGCATCACATATGCATAGACAGCCTTGTAGTACTCCCATGGACACATTATCGATCGTGCTCAAACCAACCGTGTCACCATTTTCATGAGAAGGAAAGGGAACTGAATGGAACTTCTCGTCATCAAGGTTAAAAGAAACTATATAAACAGAAGTGTTCATGTCATTATGGAACCAATAAAGAGCTCCATTCAAATAGGTTGGGAATTCTAGCTTATAATAGGGAACATCACCCATGCTTTCCCATGATCCCGAGCCAACAGTGTGTATCTCAGCCTGAGTACAGTCATATTCTTTCTTGCCTGTAATGGGATTAAGACTGTATTGATCAAACACTCTAACCACCTTGTATTGACTAGTTCTTGGACTGAAGCCCAATCCAAAACCAAAGATATATTTGAAATTCCCGTCACAACAATCAGCCACAGCCACCGGAAGGTTTATGTATTCACCTGTGATTGGATTACACACAACAATAGTGACCCAATGGTTCAGACAAGCAAAGAAAGCCATTGCATGAATTGGCAATGTTGAATCTTTGATGGTACTGTTTCAGGATTGCGCAATGGGATCTTCAATTTGGTTTCAAGCTTCATGTTAACATGACGGTTACAATGAAAATATTTTAGCACTCTATAACCCCAGTAACAAAAGCATTCTCCGAGATCGAAATTGTGGAAATTTTCAGGCTCAACCAAGTAAAGAGTTCTTGACACACGTGTTGCGGGCCTTACATCCAATTCTGTCCGAAGCAGAGGGCAAGGCTCTGCTTGCTCAAATTGCAGCTTGGCAAACTGAGGATCCAAAATAATATTGCGCCAAGTTTTGCACACACACTTGCAAATTAGAATACTCTTTACACCGAGTTTTAGTAGAATATCAACCAATATAGGACTTGGGAGATCTATGAACGAACAACCCGATATCTGAATTTGTTCATCGTCGGACTTCTCTGCTTCTTTGTTGCCCTCTTCAGTTGAATTCCTTCTTTTTTTCATGGCTACTGTTGTATAAATCAATCAAAATGGAATCGGAGGTCAGAGGGGACAAAACCCTAAAAGCATCAACTCATTCTATGAGGGCGAAAAAAATTAACTTCAGACATGATTATCAAAAACTACCTACCATAACAAAAACCCTAGTTAGAAACAAATTACATACCATGAATTAGACATCTTTTAATTATTAATTTTTAATATGGTAAAACAAAAAATATTTATATATATTTTTAAGGGTAAAGTGCAATAAACCCTCCTTATATTTTACTCTCTCTCCCTCAAGAAACCTCCCAAACTATTTTTTTAACAGACTACTCTTGTACTATCCAATTTTTTCCAAAAACAACCAGATGACACTATTCGGTTAGTTTTTTACCGTAAAGTAGTCACCTGACCTATGCTATAAATTGAAAATGACAAACCTACCCTTTCTAATTGGCCCAAATCGAACCATCAACCCCCAACTCCACTCTCTCTCCATGCTCTGCAAATTGCAATCTCTTTCTATGCTCTGCAACTTTTCAACAATCACAGACAAAACTCACCACTCTCTCTCTCTCTCTCTCTACTCACTTTCCTTATATTTAATCAACTTAATTTCCAAATAGTACCTCATAAGCCAAACATCAAAATATCAAATCCAAATAAGTATTTGAATCTCTGTTTCTGCTACTGATTTTTAGATAGAGTGAGTAATCCCGAAACCCAAGTAAGCTATGAATATATCTAGAAGAGATTACAAACAGTATGCAAAATACATGAATTTCAATTACATTTGTATTTGATTTGGTTTTGGGTTCTTAGGGACCAAGGTAAATAATCCATACAGTGCTGGTTGGTGGTCGGCGGTGATGGGGGTGGTGGCGACGCCACCGCCTGCTGTGGTTGTCTGTGTATGGATCACCATAGGAGATGGGTTTGCAGCTGGTTATCGGTGGGTGGTGGTGGTCGTCGGCTGGTGGATGGTGGTGGGTCGGTATACGTATGTGGATAGGCTTGCATGAATGTTATTGATAAGGATGAAGATGGGGATGTTGGTGATTAACAATATAGTAACCTTTGTAAAAAACATTGGTGACAATTTGGCAGATAATAGATGTTCAGCCAATGCAAAAAGGCAAGTGCAGGAGTGTCCTTGTATCCTGCGCCTTTCATTTTCAGTCCAAGTCCTCTAAGATATTAAGATCAGACGGAATAATTAACACCCAACCATTTTTGGTGATTGATTTGGGCTAACAGCCGTTGCCAGAAAAAATGACTTCAAATGTTAGTGTGCCAAGAACTCTGTTCTTCTAATTTCATCCAAACACATACATTTGTTCCTTTTAATAAAATGAAGATAAGCACTATATATATATATATATATATATATATATATATATATATATATATTTACAAAGATAATATATAGATACCGAAGATTCCGATTCCAATTAAGCAGACAAATAAATTCATCAACGCATCTCTCTCTTGATCACATGTCTTCTACGCTTTTCAGGGGGTGTACAGAGATGGAGCGAGGAAACAATATTGCAAAAGGGTCCAATAATGGTGAGATAAAATATGATTAAGATGTGGTAAGTTGAAAAATAAGATAATAAATATGTTTTGATTTTGGTTTTTCTTATCATCAATATGGATGAACTCAATGGCTGAAGGAGCTGTGGTTTCTTGGATAGATTTCTAGTTAATTGGGTAGTGGTCTGGTTGGTATTTGGCACTAAAATAAAATGTGGACCGTAAGGTGGTGTTTGGCCCTAAAATAATAAGGGCAATTTTGTAATCTAATATTTCCGACAAGCTCCGTTGCCAGTGAATTTGAATTTTGTCCTTAAATTGTATTTTTTAAATAGTTTAGGGGGTGCTAATTAGTTCAGGGGGGTTTCTTGAGATAGAGAGAGTAATATAGGGGTGTTTATTGCTATTTACCCTATTTTTAATAACTATTTTTATTTATTTTTATTTTTTAATTCTGAGAGAGATTTTAATTTTAGTAATTTTCTTTATATTTTAGTTTATTTAAATCAAATAATTTCTTTTTTGCTATTAGTTTTCTTTATAATTTTAGGATTTTATTTATTATAAATATAATGTACGGGAGAGTAGGGTACTCAATCAATTTTAAAATAAATTGATTTTAATAAATTTATTTTAAAATGGAATCGGAGGTCAGAGAGGACTAAACACGAAAAGCATCAACTCATTCTATGAGGGGAAAAAAATTAACTTTAGACATGATTATCAAAAACTACCTACCATAACAAAAACCCCAGTTAGAAACAAATTACATACCATGAATTAGACATATTTTAATTATTATTTTTTAATATGGTAAAACAAAAAATATATATTATTTTTAATGACTATTTTTTATTTATTTTTATTTTATAATTTTGAGAGAGATTTTAATTTTAGTAATTTTCTTTATATTTTAGTTCATTTAAATCAATTAATTTCTTTTTTGCTATTAGTTTTCTTTATAATTTTAGGATTTTATTTACTATAAATATAATGTACGGGAGAGTAGGGGGTATTCAATCAATTTTATCAATATATTATCGACTAATATGCGAATGCCCGCCCACTACTATGTATAGTTATTTTTAATTTTTATATATATATATATATATATATGAAAATTTTCTATATAATGCCCCTAAACTCTTAATTTCTAAAATTATTTCTTTTTTTTTGTTTTTTGTTTTTTTACTCTTCAAATTCCTTTGATTTCCTATTAAAAAAAAAAGTTTGTTTTTTTTTTTTTTTTTTTTTTTTTTTTGTCCTTTCAAAGTTCTCATTTTTCTTCTATTTTTTCCTACTTAAATATTTTTTACCCTCTATTTGAATAACTAATATTTGTCATGTTAGTTGATTGAAATTCTGGCTCCGCCCTTACTTGTGAACGAATTTATTGCATCCGTTACATCAAACACACACATTTGAATTAGGGTTGCACATGGTTGGGATCGGTACGATTTTTGTCATTATTGGAATCGAACCTTTCCCAATGATTTCTAAAAAATTATAATCGGAACTGTTGAGATATGGAACCAGAATCAAACCAAACCAAATCGTGAATACCGGTTTGATTCAGTTCGGTTCCACGATTCCAATTATATAAATTTTGATTTTTTTTTTTTTTAACTTCTCATTAACAATTTTTCATACTCTATTGGTTTTATGTACAATTGTAATTATGTAATTAATATATATATATATATATATATATATATATATATATATATAATATAATATAATATAATATAATATAATATAATCGATTCGGTTCGATTTCAAAAAGGCTAGAACCGGAACTGAAGTAGTGAGGAATCAGAACCGAAACACCGATTCGGCTCGATTTTGAACGGTTTTCTAGTTCCATCAGTTCTTTGTGCATCCCTAATTTAAATAGATGCGGGGCAAAACACAACATCAATAAACCAATATAACACTTCGTGGACAAATTTAATAAAAATTAATGTTGAAAATTCTTTATAATATATATATATATATATATATATTATTAACCTGGAGTGTTCGGGATGGCACGAACCCGAGAACCTGGAAAGGCACCTCTCCACTCAGGCCGAGTAAGTCACTACAGCGGCAGCGGAGTCACAAAGAACACCTAGCGGGATTTGAATTCCAGACCTTGGGCTTTCTAAACTCTAAAATCTAGCGAGTAAATCGTTGAGCCATATCCGAAGTAAATTCTTTATAATATTAATACACTCTTGTGAACCATTTTTCCCATCAAAGATTATAATTTCTGAATAGACGAATCCACCAAGTGTCAATAATGACTAAAACCACCTAATAATTTCTCAATCAATGATTTCAAACTGAGCGTGTGCAAAGTTGAACCACCTCTCCCATCAAATGGCAGCGCTATAATAAGAGTGAACCCATAATCACATACTCCCCCTTCAAATCCATTACTTTACACCAGGAATAGGCAATTGTGCTAAGAATATGCAATTGTGCTATTTCTTAGTTTTCCTAAACTACAGTATATGGTATAATGTATAACAGTAAAAGTATCCATAATTCTCCCTCTAAGGCTATGTAACGATCCCAAAACTAATGCCAAGAATTTTTATAAAAAAAAAAAATTCGGCATAACCTCCCCTAAAAATGGACCTACCGCAACCTGTTTAAATACATATTTAACCTGTCATGCAACTAATTTCCGAATTCACGGCAACAAAAGATAATGATACAACCTACTAATCTAGACAATGCTTCAAGCTAGGATTATCCTTCCATTCATCAACAAGTTACATATCATCAAGTTCGCATCCCATATGTCATCAAGTATCATAAGTGTATTACATGATCATGGTTCTTCAAAAGAAATTTACATCATTATACCTTTGGAATTTTACAAAAAATGAGGGATGAACAAAGGAGTAGTCTATTACAAAATAACAAGGAAAATGCTCCTCTAGCAACTTTCAAAGTTGGGGTGGATTGTCGTCCACCGATTCTTTTCCAAGACCTGAAAAAAATATATATATATTGATATAGGGGTGAGCATATAGCTGAGCAGAGACACTTAAGACACAATTCTTGTGTCCTAGTGAATCCAATCAAAGCATAGGCCAATGGGAGATAGGGATCATACAACATAGGGGATCAAATACAACATACAAGTCAATTCCGAGTATAAACAATGCAATGCAACGAAATGAAATGCAATGCATGTCAATGACACTCCCCATTCTCATTCTCAAAATCATCACTTTCAAACGTTAATACAGCCCGCCCTTTGGTAACCCCGCCGCGACACGAGAGGAGGATTGGCTAGTGTCCCTGACCCTTGGTAACCCCGCGGCGTCATTATGGGGCCCAGCTAGCTCAACCACGCTAGGGCGACTCCCTAGTCCCCTCTAGGCTATATTAACCTCTAGCCCGTTGGTAACCCCGCAGCGACCAGGTTTATCAAAACCAATTTTTCCAAACACATCACCCAAAATTCCCATTTTTCTTTTCAAACACCAACATCCCTTCCTATGCAACCCAATAAAATGTATGTATCTTACATGATGTCAATACAATGATAAATGGGAATTTAACACTCTACAACAAGTACCATTTCATATAACATTATAGCATGCTTGTAAAATAATAATCATGATAGAAACTCATTATATAAACATGCTATCCATTCAATCAAGTAACACATATTCACATAACATGGCATATTCTCAAATATCTCAGTTTAAACAAGAATCAAAGCAATCAAACATGCTGTAACACAATTAGAAGAGCATGATTCAATATGGAACAAGATTCCATGGCTTAAGATGTCCCTACCTCAAGATTGCACCAAAACCCTAGAAAATGGGTCCTCAAATTCGAGCTCCCAAAGAGGACCAAAAGCTGGAATTTCTGATACTGGCACGTAGGGCTCGCCGTGCTCATCGTTTTGCCTCAAACGGCACCTAAATCCGGCAAGGATTGAGAGAGTAATCAAGGGTTAAAGCTTGAAGTGAAAAAAAAAAAGAAAAAAAGAAAAAAGAGAAGGAGCCGAGAGACAAATAGAGAGATGGACGCGAGAGAGAGAAGATGAGGTTACAGTGAAAAAAAACATGGTCTTAACATTTGTGGGTCCCATTTTTTTTTTTTTTTTAATATTTCTTTTCTCTTTTTTTCTTAATACACACCGCACACACAGACATATATATATATAAAGGCACAAACATTACACTCTCCCCAACTTATAAGGATTTCGTCCCCGAAATCAAGACATACCTGAGGAAGAAAACAACGCTAGGTACTTGGAACGAACCTCCTGTTCAAGCTCCCAAGTAGCTTCCTCGACTCCGTGGTGTCTCCAAAGGACTTTCACCATTGGTATCGTCTTGTTCCTCAACACCTTCTGTTGTGTGTCAAAAATCTGAACTGGTCCTTCCTCGTAGGAAACATCCTCATCAATGTCCACATCTACCCAACTCAAAATGTGAGATGGATCCGGTTCGTACTTCCGTAACATCGATACATGGAAAACATTGTGGACCCTATCCAACTGTGGTGGCAAAGCAAGCCTGTAGGCAACCTCTCCTACTCGGTCCAAAATCTCAAACGGTCCAATAAATCGTGGCGACAACTTGCCACTTTTTCCGAATCTCATCAATCCCTTCCGTAGAGAAACCCGTAGAAAAACGTGGTCTCCCACCTCAAAGGATAACGGTCGTCTCCGCTTATCCGCATAGCTCTTCTGTCGGCTCTGAGCTGTAAGTAACCTCTGTCTTATCAACTTAATCTTCTCAGTAGTCTCGAGTACAATGTCGGGTCCTAAGGCGGCTGTCTCACCTACCTCAGTCCAACAAACAGGATACCTACAAGGTCTACCATACAACGCCTCAAATGGAGCCATCTGGATACTCGCTTGATAACTGTTGTTGTAGGCAAACTCAATAAGTGGAAGGTGATCCTCCCAACTACCACCCAAGTCAAGCACACATGCCCGAAGCATATCCTCTAAAATCTGGATAGTACGCTCCGACTGACCGTCCGTCTGTGGATGGAATGCCGTACTAAGATGCAACGCTGAACCAAACGCTACTTGAAGTCATTCCCAGAACTTCGAAGTGAACTTAGCATCCCTATCTGACACAATGGTTACAGGAACTCCATGCAACCTTACAATCTCCTTCACATAAAAAACACCAAGCTTCTCTGCATCATCTGTTGCCTTAATAGGCAAAAAGTGAGCCGTCTTGGTCAATCTGTCAATGATGACCCATACGGCCTCATTGCCCCTTCTTGACCTTGGAAAACCTGTCACAAAATCCATAGCGATATGCTCCCATTTCCATTACGCTATAGGTAATGGTTGCAACAAACCTGCTGGCCTCTGATGCTCGGCCTTCACCTGCTGACAGGTAAGGCATCTAGCCACAAACTGTGCAACATCATTCTTCATCCCGCTCCACCAATACTGACGTCTCAAATTGTGATACATTTTAGTACCGCCTGGATGAACTGCAAAACGGGAAGTGTGAAACTCCCTTAGGACATCCTCACGACATACTGTGGGAACCACCAACAAACCCCTGAACCGTAGACCCCCATCTGCATGCAAGGCCCAATCTTTCACTGTCTCACCACTAGAGATCAAAGCGTGGATGGCATCTAAATCCGGGTCCTATCTCTGTGACTCAATCACTCGTACAACAAGAGTAGGCTGAGCCACAAGACTAAATAAGAATGCCGACTCACTGCAAGCATCATCATCACAATACTGTAATCCCATCTCTGCCAGATCTTCAAGCATCTTCCACTTCCGAATAGCTAAACTAGCCAAAGTTCCACGAGATTTCCGGCTTAAGGCATCCGCTACCACATTCGCCTTGCCCGGATGATACTGCAAGTCAAAATTGTAGTCCTCCAAGAATTCGACCCATCGCCTCTGTCTGTTGTTCAAGTCCTTTTGGGAGAAAAGGTACTTGAGACTTTTGTGATCTGAAAATACCTCGAATCTCTCACCATACAAGTAATGTCTCCAACACTTCAAGGCAAATACAACTGCCGCTAACTCCAGGTCATGAGTAGGGTAGTTGTACTCGTGAGTCTTCAACTGTCGAGACCCATAAGCCACTACTCTACCATCCTGCATCAACACACATCCCAACCCGTCACGTGAAGCATCACAATAGATCACATAACCCAAGCCACGCTCAGGTATCACCAACACTGGAGTTGTAGTCAATCTCATCTTCAACTCCTGAAAAGATGAATCACAGGCCTCATTCCAGACAAACTTGACCCCTTTCCGGGTCAAACGGGTCATAGGAGCTGCCAAACGGGAGAAATCCTTCACAAATCTCCGATAGTAACCCGCTAAACCAAGGAAACTGCGGATCTCAAACACATTCTTGGGTCGCTCCCAAGTCAAAACTGCTTCAACCTTTGATGGATCAACTGATACTCCACCTTCTGAAACAACATGCCCCAAAAACTTCACCTCCTGTAGCCAAAACTCACATTTCTCGTATTTGGCATACAATCGGTGCTCCCACAAAATCTGTAAAACAATACTCAAATGGACCTCGTGATCTTCCCGAGTCCGTGAGTACATAAGAATGTCATCCACGAAAACTACCACAAACTGGTCCAAGTAATCGTGAAAGACGCGGTTCATCAAGTCCATGAATGCCGCTGGTGCATTAGTCAAGCCAAAAGGCATAACAAGGAACTCATAGTGTCCATACCATGTACGGAATGCTGTCTTCGGGATATCCTCATCCCTAACCCGCAACTGATAATAGCCAGACCTCAAGTCAATCTTCGAGAAACAACTGGCTCCCCTCAACTGATCAAATAAATCATCTATCCTTGGCAAAGGATACTTGTTCTTGATGGTGGCATGATTCAACTTCCGATAATCAATGCACAACCTCAACGAACCATCTTTCTTCTTAGCAAACAAGACCGGTGCGCCCCATGGTGACACACTCGGTCGGATGAAACCTTTTATCCTCAAATCATCAAGCTGCCTCTTCAATTCTTCCAATTCAACTGGTGCCATACGATACGGTGCCATAGAAATCGGCGCAGTACCATGCATCAAATCAATAGTGAACTCCACTTCTCAGTGTGGAGGCAACTCTGTCAAATCTTCTGGAAAAACATCCAAGAAGTCATAAACAATCGCCGGATAAACTTCTCCCACGACATCATCTTCTTCGGCTAGAAGACTAGCTAAGAAATAATCACCATGACTTCGTCCACGAACTCCATAAAACGATGAAATGTGGGAATCACTCCGATCTCCCACGAAAAAGAAACAGTCTCCCTCGGGAGTGCAAACTGTAACCCTTCCTCTGTAACAGTCGATCGTGGCATGAAATGAAGCCAACCAATCCATCCCGAGAATGACATCAAAGCTAGTCATCTCCAGGAGGATAAGGTCAAACACAAAGGTCCGCCCGGCTATTACAATGGAGCAATCTCGCACAACTCGGCTCAATGACACTGAAACCCCAACTGGCGTATCAACACATAACGCCCGATCCATGAAACTAACCTCTAACCCCGATGCAAGTGCAAATGATGATGAAATGAAAGAATGAGATGCACCAGAGTCAAACAAAACACGGGCCCAACAACCAAACACTGGAAATATACCTCGAAGAACTGACGGTCCAGAAGATGCATCGGTCTGTGCCAGTGCAAAAACACGTCCCTGTGGTACCTGTGCCTGAGGACTGCCAACCTAAACACCTGACTGCTGCACTGACATAGTAGGAGTATCCCTCCTAACTGATCGTGAACCCTGTGAAGACATAGTAGGCTGTGGTGGTGGTGGTCTGAAACCTGACTGAACTGTAGCCGATTGTGACGGCCTCTGCTGTGACTCTCTGCCACTAATGGTGCCTGCTCTCTGACTCGGACAATCACGAATCAAGTGACCCTGCTGGCACCCATAACAAGCCTTCGGAGCTGACGAAACTGAAGACGATCTCATCGGACAACTGGACTTGTAATGTCCGGGCTGCTGACACTGATAACAAACAACTGCACTCCTGTCAGATCCAGCTGGCATAGGAGTGGTAGGAGTAGATCTTGTAAACTGTTGCCCCTGAAACTGAGATGGACTGCCCCTGTTCCTTTTCCAAGAAGATCCCTCTGAGGATGGCCCTGCACCCCTCTTTTGCTTCAATTGCTCTCTGCTTGCATCCTTCTCTCTATTGTCAGCCTCCAGCATCAAAGCCCTTTCCACTGCTTCAGAGTAAACCTTAATAAACTGTGCCGTGATCAACGGCCTCATTTGATCATTAAGACCCAAGAAAAACTTTCGAGTCTTGTTAGCTTCATCTCTCACCACTTCTGGAGCAAAACGGGAGAGTGGGGTGAACTTGTTCTCATACTCCGCCACTGACATGTTCCCTTGAATAAGATTATGAAACTGGTCTTGTAACTCCCATCTTTTGGAAAGCGGAAAGTACTTCTCATAAAACAGTTCCTTGAACCTGTCCCAACTCATCTCTTCAATCTTGTACTGGTTAGTGATCGACTTCCACCAAACCTTGGCATCCATAGCAAACTTGTAAGTTGCTAGGATGATCTTCAAGTGATCCTCTGTCACATCCATTGAGGTCAACTGAGTTTCGACTTGATCCATGTAGTTGTCGGCTACCATTGGGTCCGCACCGCCCTCAAACATAACCGGCATCAGCTGAGAAAACCCCTTAATGATCTTGAGACGCTTCTGAGCTGGAGTCTCCTCAACTCGAACTGTAGGTTGTGGTACCAACTGCGGCTGAGCAACAATAGTTGCTCTCATGGCATTTTGCAACAATCGATTCAACTCTTGTGCCACAGAACCTTCACCCACTTCTGTACAAGTGTTTCAACATTCTCTCTTCGTGGGGGAACAGCTCTTGGGGGAATCAAGTCCCTAAGAAGCATGTTCTCATCATTTAGCTCCTCCAGATTGGAGCTGGAGCTCTCACCAACATCACCCCTTGTTGGCCTAGGGCCAACTTCTCTAGGTTCCTCACGCCGTGACATCGTGCTATAAAACGAGAAAACGATTCAGAAACATGACACTAAGGTCCACTGTGGACGACTCAATAAGAATTAATACCGTACAACACTTAGCATGCAAGACTATGCAAGAAACATTTTAACATAAACAAGTAAGCAGTAAGCACATAGGCAGTTAAGCATGCTCATTTAAGTAAAATAGCACGTAGCAAGTAGTCAAGTAAACAACACAAACAGCATTCCATGTAACCCTAAGTAGGCCTCTACCCGTCGTCCTAAAGGTTATCGAACCTTTGCTCTGATAACAAATTTGTAACGATCCCAAAACTAATGCCAAGAATTTTTTTAAAAAAAAAAAAATCGGCATAACCTCCCCTAAAAATGGACCTACCGCAACCTGTTTAAATGCATATTTAACATGTCATGCAACTAATTTCCGAATTCACGGCAACAAAAGATAATGATACAACCTACTAATCTAGACAATGCTTCAAGTTAGGATTATCCTTCCATTCATCAACAAGTTACATATCATCAAGTTCGCATCCCATATGTCATCAAGTATCATAAGTGTATTACATGATCATGGTTCTTCAAAAAAAATTTACATCATTACACCTTTGGAATTTTACAAAAAATGAGGGATGAACAAAGGAGTAGTCTATTACAAAATAACAAGGAAAATGCTCTTCTAGCAACTTTCAAAGTTGGGGTGGATTGTCATCCACCGGTTCTTTTCCAAGACCTGAAAAAAGAAAATATGTAGATATAGGGGTGAGCATATAGCTCAGCAGAGACACTTAAGACACAATTCTTGTGTCCTAGTGAATCCGATCAAAGCATAGGCCAATGGGAGATAGGGATCATACAACATAGGGGATCAAATACAACATACAAGTCAATTTCGAGTATAAACAATGCAATGCAACGAAATGAAATGCAATGCATGTCAATGACACTCCCCATTCTCATTCTCAAAATCATCACTTTTAAACGTTAATACAGCCCGCCCTTTGGTAACCCCGCCGCGACACGAGAGGAGAATTGGCTAGTGTCCCTGACCCTTGGTAACCCCGCGGCGTCATTATGGAGCCCAGCTAGCTCAACCACGCTAGGGCGACTCCCTAGTCCCCTCTAGGCTATATTAACCTCCAGCCCGTTGGTAACCCCGCAGCGACCGGGTTTATCAAAACCAATTTTTCCAAACACATCACCCAAAATTCCCATTTTTCTTTTCAAATACCAACATCCCTTCCTATGCAACCCAATAAAATGTATGTATCTTACATGATGTCAATACAATGATAAATGGGAATTTAACACTCTACAACAAGTACCATTTCATATAACATTATAGCATGCTTGTAAAATAATAATCATGATAGAAACTCACTATATAAACATGCTATCCATTCAATCAAGTAACACATATTCACATAACATGGCATATTCTCAAATATCTCAGTTTAAACAAGAATCAAAGCAATCAAACATGCTGTAACACAATTAGAAGAGCATGATTCAATATGGAACAAGATTCCATGGCTTAAGTTGTCCCTACCTCAAGATTGCACCAAAACCCTAGAAAATGGGTCCTCAAATTCGAGCTCCCAAAGAGGACCAAAAGCTGGAATTTCTGATACTGGCACATAGGGCTCGTCGTGCTCGTCGTTTTGCCTCAATCGGCACCTAAATCCGGCAAGGATTGAGAGAGTAATCAAGGGTTAAAGCTTGAAGTGAAAAAAAAGAAAAAAGAAAAAAGAGAAGGAGCCGAGAGACAAACAGAGAGATGGACGCGAGAGAGAGAAGATGAGGTTACAGTGAAAAAAACATGGTCTTAACATTTGTGGGTCCCATTTTTTTTTTTTTTTTAATATTTCTTTTCTCTTTTTTTCTTAATACACACCGCACACACAGACATATATATATATATAAAGGCACAAACATTACAGGCTATGTTTGGTAGGGTGGGTTTGAAGGGGGAAGATAACATTAGTTATGAGGGAAAGGGAAGGGAAAGATAAGTTTAATCCTCAATCGTGTTTGGTTGATTAATGAAAGAAAAGAAAGGGAAGGATAACAATCATGTTTGGGAAAAGAAAGAAAAGGGAAGGATAATAATAAATTTACTATTATGCCCTTTTTATATTTTAAAAGTTGAATTTTTAGATTTAAATATGCAACAACATTTTTGCCCCAAGAGGAGCCGGCTCAAGTAAAAGTGGAGGAGGCTCCAATATGAATGGAGCAGGCTCTACTTTAAGTAGAGGAGGCTCCAATATGAGTAGAGCAAGCTCCCAAAAATGGGAGGCGGCTCCTTTCAAGAAAAATTGTTCTGGGAACCAATTTTAGCTACTGGAATGAAAATCAAGTGTGTGTTTTTTTTTCCTTTCAGTTTCCATCGCTGTTCCAGTTCGGGTTTGCCGTCCGCCTCAAAAAATCAAAACCCACATCTTTCAGTTTCCATCGCTATTCTAGTTCGGGTTCGCCGTCCGCCGTCCGCCATTCGCAAGCTTCCCGCGCTGAATACATGCCCAATATCAAATGCAATTTTGAGGGTAAAAGTGACATGACAAATATTATATGAGCCATTACCTTCCCTTTCCTTCCTTATCCTCCCATTTTTGGAAGGTTAAAGAAATTACTGTACATTGTTATGAAGAACCCCTCCAAACCCTTCCCTCTCCTTCCCTTTTCCTCCACTCACCTTACCCAAACACAATTTTTTTATAATCCTCCATCACCTTCCCTTCCCTTTCCCTTCAAACCCACTCTACCAAATTGAGCCTAAATGCCGCAACAAATTATTTATTTAAATTTTTACATTACTTCTATCTTTTAAAAATAAATTTTTTTTATTTATTCGATACAATCAATTTAGATTTGTTATTCTGTTTAATATAAATAAAGTTATTTTGGTAAATTATAGAATTTTCTTGCAACCAAAAGTGGAACAATTCTTCCAAAAGTGTATTTACAATGTTTCATTATATATACTTTTAGGGACTTCATGAATTTGACACTTTTTGCAAATTTTAATTTAACCAAACATACTAATTTGTTGAAAAGCTTAGAAATTTAACTTATAATAAGGCTATGCAAAAGAGTGAGTAAAAGATAGAGAACAATACAAATGCTGTTACCGTAGATGTAAACACACAAAATTGTATGCATATAAACACGTATTTGACTACAAGTGCTTTAATACAAGAAATTCCTAAGGCTATGTTTGGCAGGTATGAAATTGAAGCTTTGCAAATGGAATTTGTGTAATTTGATAAAAGCAACTCAAAAAATTGAATCAAAATTTTCTCCAATTTTACCAATTTCAATTCTAATTCTAACGCTCCAATTTCACGCCGCCAAGCACAACCGAAATAAAAACCTAAATATAACCTAAAAATGATAAACATCAAATGTGCCAACTCAAACCCTAACATACCATTAATTTTATCTTTCAACTAAAGGGACCATTTATTTTGACAATGTGTCTCATTTTTCTCTTCTTTTTATTATTATTATTATATTAGTAGTGTGTAGACAAACATTTTTATTGGCGAGAGACAAAAGTTGCAGAATTGTGAATTGATAGAAGTAGAAGAAGCCTTAAAATCTTGATTTAACCAGAAACAATTCAGCTTAAGGTGCATTTGAACAATTTATACAAAGAATTCATCATTTTAAAATATGTTATTATTTACATACAGAATAGGACAGTTTAAGTGATTGAATGAGAGCAATATAAACCTTTCATTGCCAAAAATTATATAAATAACATTAGCAAAAGGAAAACTTTATAAGCCATGAGTATAAAGATACTGTTTTACTTCTATTATAGCCTATATAACAGTTATATAAATATAACTTAAATAAGTCTCAGATCCAAAAAAAAAAAAAGGCATTTAATATTGTCTTCCTATAGAACCAAGACTGCCCTTTTTTTCCTAGAAAGTAGAGCGAGGAGAGACTCGAACACAAGCAGACTTGCTCGAGGAGCTTAGGGTCTCTACCAATTAAACTGTTGGGTAACGCCCAAAATAAGACTACTTAAAAGGAAGTAAAATATCAACATGAAAAGCTTGATTCTTGGTAGAGAATCTGTCCAAGTACCGGCATATCCAACCTTTATGGTATTAAGGGCATCTAAGGACCTTTCCAGGAATGTATAATTGCTAACTCCTAGGCCTCCAAAAATATGCCTTAAATTATATTAAGCAGTTATGCAAGCAAATATTTTTGCTGCATCACTTCTGCCACCAGTGCCTGTGCCATTCATTGTCATCACAAGACGAGTAATCCGAATCAAGCGCCATTGCCCTGTCTTCTTCCTTCAAGAATAGAGTTTTAGTCTCTCCCTGCACTTTCAACTCCGCACACCTACATCAACAATCTAGGAGCATAATCCTCAAACTTGTAGCAATTTGAATCTTCTAAACAATTACATAATCGGAATTTTCATGAAAGCGTGCTTTGTATTCATTTCTTCATGCAATCCACACAATAATTGCAAGCATAGGTACTATTTTTGCTCTTTAGTTTTACCATCATATGTGGTTTCTAATATACTATAACTTCCACAAGTAATATGCTTAGACTTTGTAGTCTATAGCTTGCAGGGAATCAAAATTAAACAAACGCATCATGGTTATTACAAATTTATGGATCAGAGACTGATGGTGTTCCACTAAAGCAGCATTTCATATAATTAACACTCTCTTCGCTTCTCTCCTTAACAAACAAAATAAAGTATTATCTCATTCTCTTCTCTTCCATCCAAGCAAACAAAATGGGAGAATGACACAATCTCTTCTCTAGGGATGTCTCATTCATTTATTCTTCTCTCCCTTCCATTCAATTTTCTTCTTTCCTACCTAAGGGAGCATTAGTACTTAGGCGAGAGAACTCGGACAAGGGAATAAATGAGAGAGAAAGGAGGGTGGCAGAACCCTAAGGTAGCAATTCCTAGGCCCGTCACATCAAATAACACAGTTATTTATTACATTCCTAGCACGAACTGGGTACGAACATTCTCCATGCGTCAGCATATCTGTGCCCCATGCCACCTCAATTACTCCCCTAGCCAGGGCGCGGGTGACTCGTTCACCTGAGCCACAAGTCAAGCCCCTCTCGTTGCCCTGAGGGACCCCTCGTTTGCTCCTCCATGTCTCATCAACACTTTTGCTCGCCCGCTCCTGTCATGGCACAAGTCGCACCTTACTTGGACCGCCTCACTATTGAGACTTCACACTCAAATGCCAACACTCTACTGGAAAATACCTTGGCTTAGAGAAGAATCCTAGAATGCCACAGGACATACAACTAAATCTTAATTTTCAATATTATAACTGAAAGAATAAATATTAGTACTTTAGTTTCAGAAATAACATTACGCATTTTCTCTTTTGCAGACACTTATTTTATAAATTATCTAAAAAAAATTAAGTATATCTTACTAATACTTTACGAGGAACATGAGTTGTTAAGTACAACTCCATATAACACAGCCTACGCTATGTGCTCACTAATGACATTTGATAATTTATCTAAATTTGACAAGTAATGCAAGTTACTCCAACCAATAAAACAAAAAAAATAAAACGAAACAGAAGGAAAAATCTAAAAAAAGAATGAAAAAACAAGTTTCGAACATAACAAGCCCTTCAATATTGAAAGAGTACACAATCAATATCACCAGACCTTTTCTTTCAAAACCTATCAGGAAAATGTATAAACAAGGGCAAGAAGCCAAAGAAAGTCCTAAGCCCCACCACAACATAACCAAGCAGTTACAGGAAAAGCCAACAAACAACACGAAGGCTAGCTAATATAAACAGAAATAAAGTCTGTAGTTGTTAGACCAGTCTTGAAATCAACCTCCATGCAAAGTGGAGTCTGAAATTAGATCAAGCTAATGTAGTCCAAATTCGATCTTCCATCAATAGCATTTAATAATGAGCAGCAAGAAGAGTGTTTAAATTTCCTATTCTACTACAATCTTCCTATTGCATTGTTTTTGAACTCTATTGAAGCAAGTTTGCATCTGATAGTATCCCTCATAGCCTCAATAGACTGATAGGGAGCTGATTTGCTTCTGAAAGCGCGATTATTCCTCTCAGCTTGTGGATCAAGAATGTTAAGGATTTCCTGGAAGATTTCCAATTGACAGCACACTAGTCTACAAGGTCATTCCAAGTATCAGGAAGGTTATAAAATCCAGCAACATGCTGAAAGGGAGACAAATGGAGCATGAATGGGCGGACTGAAAAAAAAAAAAAAAAAACCAATGGCTGATGGACTCTGCTTGGGATAGACAAAGGAAACAGGCATTTGGAATGTGCAAATAAGAAACAGCTGAACTATCAAGGGTATTGAGTCTATTTTTCACAGTTAACCAGAACATGGTATGTTTAGGGATGTTGTATTTAAAATCATGCAAGATGAGCCCAATTCACAGGGGTGAAGGGGAAGAGAAAAAAGATTAGGTATGAGAGAGAGAAAAGGAGGAAGAGAAGGAAACCAATAAATAGAATCAGGATCAGGGGATGGTGGTGGAAGGGATGTAACTTCCTAGAGAGGAGGGACAGCTTGGGTTAGAGGAGGAGGAACAGCCCATTGCTGGTTGGAAGTTAAGTTTGCCACTTTGACATACAAATCAAAAGGTGGGAAATTTAGTTCGTGAGGGTCAAATTAATTTAATTAGTTGACATACTGTAAGGGTCAAATTAATTTAATTAGTTGACATACTGTAAGTATTGTTCAAACATCTGCGCCTTAAAATAAAATGAGTTACAGTGCTTTTAAAAACAAACAAACAAAAGAGAAATGAGCATCATCAAAATGGAAAGGAAGAGAGAAACAAAGTACTGAGACTAAGATATATAGCAAAACTATCATGTGGGTAATGGACTGCCAAGGTATCCATACTACTATATAAATGACAACATCATTTTTGTATATACATTTTTAATGTATATAATATATACTTAGTTTATATACAATATTTAACAATTAATTAATTCGTGCATTCATCTACATTCCTATTCTTTATAACATTGTTTGACGAAATCACATATTTATGATGACGACTCACTTTACAAAGTATGCCCACGTCCACATTTATGATATCAAATTTTTTAATTAATTTAGAAGTGATAATTAATCACATATTTTATATCAATTCTCTTCTCTAATTTTCACACACACACACACACATGTGTGGATGTGTTATGAACGTTTATGACTTTTGTACCAATCGGGGTGGAGATGCCAGTATTTCAAGACAGAAAGATTGATGTGTAAGTCCATTTTTTTTTATATTCGTCCGTTTTTTAATGGTTATGGGTCAATCATATTTAATTGAGGGTCAAGATAGATTGGGTAATTTTTAACCACTTAATTTGATAGTCAAGATGGGTTAACCATATTCAACCCATATTTCACCCATCACATAATAAACACACAACACACAACTATTCTATATTGCACTCAACTCATTTCTCTCTGTAAAATTCTCTCACTCACAATCTTTATTCTTTAAATTTATCTCTCATCAATCTTTTCTCTCTAAATTTCTCTCTCTAGAAATTTCTTCTAAAAAAAATAATTTTAAAAAATTTAAAATAATAAAAAATTTTAAAACCTTCCAGAAAATATATATATATATGCAAAAACCCATATCTTTTAGTTTATCATTCCATTTGTTACAGCTCCCAGAAATACATATATATACATATATATATACATATGTAATAAAATTTTCGTGACATATATATACATATGTAATAAAATTTTCCGAAAAAAAAAAAAGAAGGAAAATGAGATTCACCGAAATGTATATATAATATTTAGCTAATAATCTCATTTAGCTATACATTTTCAGAAATGTATATATAATTTTCGGTGACTCTCATTTAGCTAATAATCTCATTTAGAATTCCTCTTACTATTTTCCTTCCTAACTTCCCAGAAATATATATATATACATTTTGCAGACGACTTGTTACTTTTCTCTCATGGAAGTCTTCAGTCAGTAAGTATCCTACACAATGCTATCAATATCTTCGCTTCTATCTCTGGTCTAAACATCAACAAGTCCAAGAGCTCTATTTTCTTCTGTGGTGTGGATCAAGCCACCCAAAATTCTATCTCAAGTTTGCTGGGGATTGGAATTGGTTCTCTTCCTATCAAATACCTTGGTGTGCCTCTAATCACAACAAGACTAAAGGCTTATGACTGCAAGGCATTAGTTGATAAGATTTCCAGTAGAATTAATCACTGGACAAGCAAAGCAATTTCTTATGCAGGTAGGATCCAACTAATCCAATCTATCATAATTAGCATGCAGTTGTACTGGGCTAGTATGTTTATCTTGCCCAAAGCTGTCATTAATGATATCAACAGGTTATGTAGAAACTACCTTTGGTCTGGCAATTGTCTCAACAACAAGAAAGCAAAGATTGCTTGGCTTCATGTGTGCAGGCCTAAAGGACTGGGTGGGCTTGGAATTCCAAATGTGGAATTCATTAATAGGGCTTCTATGATGAGGCATCTGTGGAAGGTTATTACTGATTGCAAGGATAGCTCTTGGGCTCAATGGATTATTGACCATCATTTGAAGAACAAATGCTTATGGGAATTAAATATACCACAGAATTGCTCCTATAATTGGAGATCTCTACTACATCTTAGGCCATCTTTTAAGATAATGATCAAAGCAAATATTGGGAATGGAGAAAGTATTACCTTCTGGCATCACAACTGGTTAGAGGATAGCCCTCTCTGCAGTAGCTTTTCTCATGCCCAAATCAATGCTTCTAGAATTCGTCTCAATGCTAGATTGAATAGTTGCTTGTGTGGAAACTCATGGATCTTCCCCAGAGACATGACCTTGCTACTGCCAAGCTTAAATCTTCTTCCCCCTCCTGGTTTAGGTATAGATTCATTCACTTGGAGGCCATCACCAAATGGCAAATATTCTCTTAAGCATACAATTGAGGCATTAACCATTCCCACACCTCCAGCCCCATGGTACCAACTTGTTTGGAATTCTTTGTCCATCCCTCGACATAGGGTCATCCTTTGGTTGGCAATTCTTAACAAGCTACCCACTCTTGACAGCAATTCCATGGCCTATAAGCATATCCCAAATCACTGCTCACTGTGCCTTTCCTCTAGAGAATCACTGAATCACATCTTTTTCTCTTGCTCATTTACTGCTCCAATTTGGTCCTATTTGCAAAATACATGCGGCTTCTACACAAGATCAGAATGGAATGACTTCATTTTTTGGGCTTCACATCACTGGTCATCCAAAAACATTGCAAATGCCATAAACAAATTGGCACTTTCAGCATCCATTTATCACATCTGGGCAGAAAGGAACTCGAGAATCTTCAAAGACATTTCAAGTTCTCAGAACTCTGTCTTGTTCAAAATCATGACCTCCATCAGAGAACGGCTCCTGCCTCTATCATTCAAGGATGGTGTGGCTGCTCGGCGTGCCCGTCATGTTTGGGATCTTCCTTCTTCCTTCATTCGCCCTCCCCCTCGACCTCCAGATGGGTCTTCTCTGCAGCTCTGAAAGCTTTGAAAGCTTGATGCTGGTTGTCGCCTGCGTTGGATTGCTTTACCGGATTTGATCAACTACTTTGGTTTGTTTCAAGCTATTAAGCTTTGGGCCTTATTTGGGCTGTTTGTTGGTTGGCTTGGGCCCCCTAGGGGTCATTTTCTCTTTTGTATTTTACTTTTGTGCGCTGTATATTCTTCACATCTACAAAATTACTTGACTTTTCGAAAAAAAATAATAATAATAATAATAATAATAAATATATATATATATATATATACATATGCAATAAAATTTTCGTGACAGCTCCGAGTAAGTTAGGCCATCCTTTTTGGAAAGTCAACTCTTCCCGGTTTAGATTTTGAAATTTTAAATCAAAATTTTCTACTAATTTATAAATATAATGGAATAGATCAAGTCAAATAAGACTAGATCCTCCAATCCTTAATTAATCGTGAGATGATACAAAAAAAAAAAAAAAAAGAAATTATTAAGGAGAGACCCACCTCCACCACACAAAAGCAAAAACGTATATAGGAGTCTTAGTTTTTTAATCAAATTCAATCTGAGATAAGCTCTCTAATATTTTGGCCAAGGAGTCAAAAATGCAATGCACATAATTAAAAAATAATAATAAAAGTGTTTCTTAGTGTTAAAATAATTAAAATAAATAAAAAAATAAAATAATTAATTAATAAGTTTACGGGTCATAACGGGTTGATTTTGCCTATTTTCAACCCGCTCATTTTCAACCCATTCTGAATGGATTAAATATAAATCTTGATCCATATTGATTCGTCCATTTTTAACCTAACTCAAACCCGGCCCAACCCGTTCATTTGTCACCCTGTTCACAAGCAAGGATGTTGATAATATCTTAACAGCTTTGTTGTAAGAAAATATTTCATTCCTTTTTCCCTTTGCCTTTGCCTAATTTAAAATCTTTTTCCAATTGTCTTATTTTAAATGTACACAGCACATGCACCTTTACTAGTACATCGAAAGAAGGACTGCACATTCATATGACTGAAGGTACCATGCTGAAATTGAAGAGGTGCGTGGTTAGCCAAGCTTGAAACAACAGTTGATAAAAAGTCAAAAATGATACGCAAAAACTATATACTAAAATAAATTGATTTCTACAGAGAATCCAAACATTAATATAAGAAATATAGCAAAACTATTTTTTGGGTAAGGGGCTGTAAAGCTATGCATGATAAGGAGAACACATCCATATGAATGAAGATGGCAATGCTCAAATTGAAGAGGTACCTAGTTAGCCAAGTTTTAAATGATAAATGATAAAGCAATACAAAAAAAAAAAAAAAAATGGAGATTAAAAATGGAGAGAAAAACCAAACAGGATTGTATACAGTATGACATTAAGAACAATATCAAAACAGACTCACTTCTTGTGATCATCACATTAATTTCATAATGATGTTTGTCAGGACATTAATGCCAACCAATACGGGATATTTTGTGCGAAATCAGTAGGACATTATTATATAGTGTAGGACTTGTACACTTCACCCGTAATACAGAATATTATTAGTTAATTTTACATTTGTAATTAACTCTTTTCATTATTGTAAATGCTTTTCAAAAAGGCCAAACTATTTTCCAGTGGGTTTGAAATCAGGAATAGAGTCAGGAATCTATCCATGGGCCAACATATATATGCATACATATACAGGAAGTATGGATCAAATGTAGAAAATGACAAGTTATTATAGGAGTCAACCTTTAAGTGCCAGTAGCATCAAATGGTCCAAACAACTTTCAGTTGAAGACAAGTAGCATCAAATGGTCGAAACAACATTCAGTTGAAGACAATATAACTCCATAATAATCATTGTAAGACCAAGTTACTTTCAAAGTTCAATAGAAACGCTGCAAAAAAAAATAAATAAATAAATAAATAAAAGGTACCAAATGTTCCAAACACCAATAAAATTAATTAGCTTCAACTGTAGATTCAGTCCCAAAAAACTATGGGTAGACATTGTTTATATAAAAGTTTTTGTAGCATCCAATTTCCAAAGTTTGGTCACGTTATGATTACTAAGGGAGGACTTGGTATAGACCTAATCTTTGATAGTTCTCAAAGTCACTTCTCTGATACTCAAACTCGTGCCAGTAGCATCAATACTGAAGCGTTCCATTGCTGAACGAAGCAATGACCCTCTGTAGCATCCAAGGGTGCGCGCAAAATTTTCCAATATTCCATTTGAGGACACAATGTTGGGTTATCAATTGTTAAAACTTGTAAGGTTGTATGTATTATATTGAAAAGATTGGGCCGGTTGGGGAAAACACTACAATAAATCTGACCCTGGTGTAAATGCATCCCCTTGTAGATAAGCATGAGGACCAATATTGACTTCCAATGATTTGCAAAATAGACATTTTTATTTTCATATCTATTAATTCTGCATACAAAGCAGCTATCTTAAATATGCATGCCCCCCACCACATCCACCTACCCTAGAAGAAAACTAAAAGGAAAAACCTAGAAGAAAAATAAAAGGAAAAAAAATCGTCTACCCATTTTTCTCTTTCCCAACCAAAAATGAAAAAAGGAAAGGAAAAATATTGAACCATGAACATTCCTTTACAGCCATTTATTCTTTCACACAACCATTTGCAACCACAATGCCAACTTCCTATGTTGAAGGTATTGTTTATCATAAAAATTAAATAAATAGAATAGAATAAAAAAACCTCGTTGGTTATAGAATTGCCAAGATCAAGTAAAGCAAGCTAATAATGAATTTAAATTTGCAGTTCATATAATTAAAAGAACTGACAAACAAACATCCAACCAAATATAGATGTTGGTACATATGAAGTTAAATATTATTGAAATATGGATGATAAGATTGATACTTCAAAAAGGTATTGGGGGAAACTAAATTTTGAACTTTGAGGTCTTAAATTCATAGAAAACCATCAACTGTGTGCATCCATGATCCATCCAAGAATATTGTCTTTTAAGGTTGACACATGTCACGCAAAACAAGTTTACACACAAAATGGCAATTTAAAAAAGAAATGATACTAAGAGCAACTTCCCAAAAAAGAAAAGAAAAGAAAAGCCATAAAGATGAAAGATCCAATATGTTTCTCATAAATAAAATCAGAGATGAAATACAACAAAATAGTGAAAATATGATACTGTAAACAAAATCTATAAATCAATTAAAGTGTAGTGACTGTGCATAGCAAATAGCCAGCTTAACCATACCTTGTATTGACATTCATCACAACCGCTTTGTCTCCCACAACAGCATCCTTAAGTGAGAGGAAGCTTGGAATATGAGCAATTGCTTCAAATCTTGATTTAGCACCACGAACCTTAAGATATCTGAATCTTAGTCTTCTATCGTCATAATGAATCAGAGCACTTTTGAAATAATGAAATATCAAAACAGTCCCATTTTTTATGAAATTTATTGGCTGATATAAACCATAAGGCCACCTCTCATCACATATGGTATCAATAGAAAACAAATTTGTCCATGATTCTTGAACACCATATTTCTTCATCACCCATATGTCAATAGGACTATAACCAGAGGCATCACATATGCATAGGCAGCCTCCTAATACTCCCATTGACACTTTACGTGTCCCCTTATCCGAGCTACCCTCGGAATGATATTCATGAGGCAGCTGAAGAACTGATTGGAACCTCTCACTGTCTAGGTCAAAAGTAACTATAACTTCAGAACCACTGCTGTAAAGACAACAACCCTTGTCAAGACACAACCAATGAAGACCTCCATCAAGATAGGTGGGAAAGGCTAGCTTATACCTTGACTGGGGTGTATTGTCAATGCTCCTCCATGATTCTGTGCCAAGTGTGTGTATCTCAGCCCCTCTACCATAATATCCTTCCCGGTTTGCAAAACGATGATCACGAGTCCATTGATCAAACATTCTTCTCACCTTATACTGATTAGTCCTTGGACTGAAGCCAAACCCACAATCAACAAATCCATCCATATTCTCATCACCCCTATTAGCCACTGGAAGGTTTATATACTCACCCGTGACTGGATTGCACACAGCAACAGGGTTATTCCGCGTTGGTTTAGACAAGCAAAGGAAACCACTGCATGAATTCACAATTTTGAACCTTTGATCTTTGGGTTTAACTTTGATGCAGCGTTTCCTTTTAACCCCACTGCCCTTAGGGAAGCAACCCATTTGGGGATCACCATCTTCACCACCATCGTGCACCATTTCAGCATTGCGGAGTGGAATCTTCAATTTGGTGCCAAGCTTCATGTTAACATGACGGTCACAATCAACAGATTGATAGTCAAGACACTGGCAGCGCCCAATCAAAATTTTAGCAGCTTTTGGGCTCGACCAAGTAAAGCGTTCTTGACACACTTGTTGAATCGAACGCCATTCGAATCAGAGGGCATGGCTCTGCCTGCGCGAAGTGCTGTTTAGCGAATTGAGGATCAGAAATTAGATTGCGCCAAGCTCTGCATACGCACTTGCAAATGAGAATTCTCTTTACAGAGAGTCTTACAAGAATATTGTGCGAGATGGGTGTAGGAAGATCTGCTATGGAACGACCCCATATCTGATTTTCTCGAATCTGTCTGCTTCTTTGAGGCCTTTCTGGGTTGTATTTCTTCTTCTTTTCAAGGCTTGGCTACTGTTATAAGTATGTAGTATTCAACGAAAATGCAATTGGAGGTAAGTGACAGTAGTTAAAATCTTAAAAGCTCCAACCCAGTACAACAACGAAAAGTTCCATGATTCAATGGAATAAAAACTGGAACAAAAACCCTAGTAATCGACAAACTAGTGAAATACAGGGGAGATAGAGAGCTTTACCAGAGAGAATTTCGGCCACACTTAGAGAAGATGAAAATGAGCAGATAATTTTTTCTTTTCTGAAAGTAAATGGGCAAAGCAGTTCAGGGGCGGGAAAAGAAGGCGGGAAGGTGGTACTGGCGCCAAGTATTGGCGGCTTACCGTGAAGGCCCAGTTTGGTTGGAAAGAATTGTAAAGAAAAGAAAAGAAAGAAAATAGAGAGAGATTCAATCATTTATGTTTTATAAAATTTTGAAAGAGATTGGAATGATTTGGAAGGATATATTAAAGTTTAGGGAGTTGGATTTTTTAAAGTTAGCATTTTTAATTAAATTTTGAAAATACTAAATTTGTCCTTGATTTTATAAAAACCTAAATCTATAAAATATAAAAAATAGTATAATAGTAATTTTTTTTATAATAATTTCATATCATTTCTATCCACAAAATGGCAATGGAGCAAGTGTGTCAGGAGTTTGACCTATCCCGTTTATTTATTAAGAATCTCATGTCCATCGGCCATTTCATATTCGGGACTGATAGATTTCTCAAAATCCATCCAGCCCTTATTGGGAAATAAGTAAACTCAGTGCCCTCCTTGTTTAGGCATTTTTTTATTGCGCTCTGAAACCAATAACTGTTTAAATAACAAATATCAAACCAAAAAATATATATATTGGAAGCCCACTAAGGAGCAAACAAATAACATACAACTATTTGAAATAAACAGAACCATATCATTGTTGGCAACAAAAAAACATTAACATTATGACATACAACTACCATTCAACTGTTTGCTAAGCTACAAAATCAGGCCAAAAATTTTAAGCCAATTGACATTACAACCAAACAAATGATATGATGCAGAGAACAAATTAAAATTAAAAAAATTAATCATAATATAGAGCATAATATATACAATATTACACACATATTGACTAAAAACACAAAATCGAAGTCATGGAAAGATAGAGATGTGACTCCTAAAACCCAAAGACTTTCTGAGACAAAGATATCTTCAAAGTTCTAACACACGCACATACGCACAAAAGAAAAACAAACACACATGCACAGAAGAAAGAGACGAATGGGAAGAGATAAAGAGAGCGGAAGAGCGAGGGGGCGATAAAGAGAGACAAATACATCAAAGGCAAAGAGAGATGAAGTGAAATCGCCCAATCTCTTATTTTTTTTAAGATTAACTGCTGTTGTGGTGAGTGGTGAGGTCGTGAGGGTTTGTGAGCTTTTGATAAGGGTTTGTGAGATACATCGACTTGTGTAATTGTGTCGTGGTGTGGTACTTTAGGGACTTAGTGTGATGATCCTGTGGGCGGGCCTGCCGTGGGCGGGTGCGAGACACTGACAGATTATCATATTGGCGAGTTACGAGTACACAATCTCACATCGCCTAGGCAGTGGAATGGTGAAATGTTTATATGTAGATGTGTCACTCCAATTAGTATGAGGCATTTTGGGGTAAAGTCCAAGAGCAAAACTGTGTGTGCTCAGACCCAAAGCGGACAATATCATACCATGTTGTAGAGTGGGTCGTTACAAATGGTATCAGAGCTTAACCCAGCCAGAAGTGTGCCGACGGGGATATCGGGCCTCCAAGGGGGTGAATTGTGATGACCCTGTGGGCGGGTGTATCGTGGGCGGGTGCAAGACACTTGCAGGTTATCACACTGGGCGAGCTACGGGTGCACAATCCCACATTTCCTGGGAAAGGGAAAGGTAAAGTGTTTATATGTAGGTGTGTCACTTCAATTGATATGAAACCTTTTGAGGTAAAACCCAAGAGCAAAACTATGCGGACTCAGGTCCAAAGCGGATAATATCATACCGTGTGGTGGAGTGGGTCGTTACAAATGGTATCAAAGTTTGACCCAGCCGGAAGTGTGCAGACGGGGACGCCGAGCCTCCAAGGGGGGTGGATTGTGATGAACTTGTGGACAGGTGTGCCGAGGGCGAGTGCGAGACACTGGCAGGCTACCACACTGACGAGTTACGAGTGCACAATCCCACATCGCCTGAGTAAAGGAAAGGTGAAGTGCTTATATGTGGTAGTGTCACTCCAATTGGTATGAGACCTAAAAGGGTAAAGCCCAAAACCTGACCCAACTGGAAGTGTGCCAACAAGGACGTCGGGCCTCGGGGGGTGGATTGTGATGACCATGTGGGCGGGTGTGCCATAGACGGGTGCGAGACACTGATAGGCTACTAAACTAGCGAGCTACAAGTGCAAAATCCCACATCACCTGGGAAGTGGAAAGGTGAAATGCTTATATGTAAGTGTGTCACTCCAATTGGTATAAGGCCTTTTGGGATAAAGCCCAAGAGCAAAACCGTGCGGACTCAGGCCCAAAGCGGACAATATCATACTATGCGGTGGAGTGGGTCGTTACAAATGATATCAGAGCTTAACCCAGCCGGAAGTATGCTGATGGGGACGTCGGGCCACCAAGGGGGTGGATTGTGATGACCCTATAGGTGGGTGTGTCGTGGACGGGTGCGAGACACTTTTAGGTTAACACACTGGGCGAGATACCGGTGCACAATCCCACATTTCCTGGGAAAGGGAAAGGTGAAGTGCTTATATGTAGGTGTGTCACTTTAATTGATATGGGGCCTTTTGGGGTAAAGCCCAAGAGCAAAACCGTGCGGGTCCAGGCCCAAAGTGAACAATATCATACCATGTGGTGGAGTGAGTTGTTACAAATGGTATCAGAGCCTGACCCAGCCGGAAGTGTGCCAACGGGGACGTCAGGCCTCCAAGGGGGTGGATTATGATGACCTTGTGGGCAGGTGTTATGATACCCCTCAGATCTGAGACACGGGTTGATCTGGCCCAGGCCCAAACCCGAGGAAATATCAAACAATTAAAGTATTTTAAAACGAATATAGAATATATAAAAATAAAAATAAAAAGATTTAAAAATTTAATTAACAAAGCTGAAAGAATTATGAAATATAAAATCCTCCAAATGATACTGAATAACAAAACTCCAATTCTCCAAAACCTTCAAAAGTGCAACTTAGGAATCCATCTAGTGGACCCCTAAACAAAAATCCCAACTGAACTGAATAACTGAAATTAAATCAAACTAGAACATAGAGAGAAGTCCAACGTAAGCAGATGAATGAGAAACTATCCTTGACAAGCACGATCAAGCTATAAGGCTGGAACCGTCCTGTACCTAAAAAGAATAAAAGAGTGGGTTAGGCCCACGAACAAGTTCTAATCTAACTGCAATCTATACAGTGACCCGATACACAGATACACACTAGATATCTCACAATATTTAACTATTCCATAAATACATATATCCACACTAAGGGACATTTACTGGACTATCATAGGGGTCTCAACCTGAATAGCAGGCAACATGCGAACCTAGACCTAACAAGATACACCTTAACCTACTATAGCCAGCTACGCATCCACTACATATACACACCTTAACCAACGAGCCTGAGACTTAAGCTCATCCCGTGATACCATAACCATATATCTAAAGTCTGTCCAAAACTAGAGTATGTCATTCAATTATTCATTGAGCTGACATACAATATACAATCTAGTTAGTCACTCAACTTATTCAGTTGATATGACTTAACTACAACCAACTAATCCAGGAAGTCATTCAACTTAGTCAGTTGGTCTGACCTAAACATAATTAGGATTTAATATTTTACAATCCATTCCTTTAATCCGATAGGTTAGGTCTTAGCGTTTTGAGCTAAACCATCCCTAGTATGCCACCGTCCCATACCGGTGCATACAATCCACAGCATCCATATTAACTACAGAACCTAAATAATAGTTCAGTAATTAAAGTCCAAACCACAATCCAGTTAATCGCAAAATAATATATAATATTTCAGCAATTATCATTTAAAAACTATCATCCAATTAATTGCAGAATAATGTGTAATATTTCAGCAATTAAAACTAAACCACATTCCAATTAATTGCAGAATAGTTTAAAATATCTCAGTAATTATATCTATATCCTTTGTTCATGTAATTGCAAAAAAAAAAAAAAAAAACTACTATTTCAGTAATTTAATATCCAAAGCATGCGTAAGCCAAAACTATTAATTAAAGGACCCTACTGTGTATTTAAAACAAGTTTAAACTCATGCTATAATCCATTAAATCACTAATTTAAAATTAGGCAATTTATATCCTTTTCATCCGTTAATAGCATGCAGAGTCGTTTAATTCCATACTGTTCATTCTAGTAGCTTACAAGCAATATTCGGATTATAAAAGACTTTAATCCCACATGAAACCAGTGTTTAAGAACTCCCAGTACCGTCCCAAACAGCCCAGAATACACCAATCGTCCAAACTGTACCCAAGAACCTTCCCAGTACGCATCAAAATAGGAGAGTCTACTCTCAAAACTTGGGAGCAGGCTCTTTAGAGCATAAAGCCGGCTCCATGCTTCATA